TTTCGTATGGCCTGAACTTTGACCAAAATAAACATCCTGACCAATCTTTTCGATCTATAACATCTTGGCCCGAACTATACACCAAAATAAACAATTTGGCCAAACACGATGTTTGGTTAACTAGGACGGTCAAACGCGTTGACTAACGGTCAACGCGCCACGTCACTACCACGTCAGTGCCAAGTCAGAAGATCTTATAAAAATTTAATTTTTTCGTTTTTTATTTTTGGTTTAACTAAGGTATTAGATGATTTTTTTTAGGCTTAGGATAGGGTCAGTAACCAATGGTTACTAACCTATGAGTAACTAAATCTGGACATTTAGGTCTAAGTGGGTCCAGAAAATTCCGATCTAATGGTTGTCAATTAGAGACATTTTATTTTTCCTAGTTTTCTTAATCGGTACTTATCTTCGTCGTTTTAACTCGGATTTCAATTTTTTTTGCACAGATGGAACGAGTTCGTTGTTCTCTACAAAATGAGATCAATTTTCAATATATTTCGAGAAAATTTTTGAGAACGAGTTCGTTTTTACCAACTACATACCATATGATAACTTCTTTGTTTTTAAGTCATTTTTGAAAACGTTTGCTCAGAAGGAACGAGTTCATCATGATATATTGGATCTATAAATTTCTGGGTGAAAAAAATAATGGATAAAAAATACCATTCTTTACCACTATGGTATGTGATTGGTAACTTGTGGTAAACAATGATGAAAGTCGTAAATGACAGTTAGTATACTCCTACTATCATGTATTCAACCTTCTTACCATATTGGTATGTTCATATCATCATTATACGCTTTCTTACCATATGGTATTAAATATGAGCATACCATATGGTAATGACTGGTAAAAAATTATTCAATTTATTTGTACTAAAAATATATCAAAGTGGATATCATTTTAAAGAGCACATTTAATCTGATTTATCTGTGCAAAATTTTTTTTTTTTTACTTAAAACGAGAGAGAAATCGTCCTTTAAAGATTAAAGGGGAAAAAAATAAAAGACTTTCCAGGAGAGAGAGGATACTGAAGTCATGTTGATGTGGACATGTTACTCATGATTACTGAACAATATGATCAAAACATGATTTGGCGACACAGGAGATAGCCGGTAGATATTTTTGTTTTAGAGGCAATGATGATTGTCACGATAACTATTAAAAGAAATCAGTGAAAATATGATAAATATATTAATTTGAAGGACTTTGCTACGGTGACATGCATGTCATGGTGACATGCACTTTTCGGTCGACCTCATATAGGATTAGGTCGACCTAATTTGTTGTTTCAGTGTAAAAACAGTTTCATGGTGTCTACTTTGGAGATTCATATCTTACAATTGGCTAGATGGAAATTGAAGATTAAAGGCTTGTTTTGAAGCTGAAGTGTCCCTCTACACATTAAAGTACTTGGGAGCTCAATAGAAAGTCCAGAAGAACATTTTTGAACCTGACCAAAAACTATGCCAAAATTGGGAAACTGCTTGAAAATGGCCAAGTCTGGCAACGTGTTTGTCAAGCCTACTTTGGAGCTCAATTTGAGAAGCATGGATGCGAGTCAATTTGGCAGACTACGAGTCAAGCAAGCTGCCAGAAAAACAGCCTTCGTAGCAACTTCGACTCTTTTGTTTGAAGCCTTACAGATATCCAATCTTTCATCCAACGCCTTGAATTTGTATAAAAACATACCTTATTTAACGTGGTAGAGGCTCCTGGACTCGACTCGCATTCATGCTTCTCGAATTGAGCTTCAAAATAGGCTTCACAAACACGTTTCCAGACTTAGCCATTTCCAGGCAGTTTCCCAGTTTTGGTATAGCCTTTTGACGAGGTTCAAAAATGGTCTTCTGGACTTCCTATCGAGCTCTCAATCACTTCAATATGTAGAGGGACACTCCAGCTTCAAAACAAGTCATTAGTCTTCTATTTCCATCTAGCCAATTGTATGATATGAATATACAAAGTAGACACCATGAACGGTTTTTACACTGAAACAACAAATTAGGTCGACCTGATCCTATATGAGGTCGACCGAATCCTAAATGAGGTCGACCAGATCCTATATGAGGTCGACCTAATTCTAAATGAGATCGACCTAATCCTAACGGAGGTCGACCGGAAAGTGCAAGTCACCGTGACATGCATGTCACCGTAGGCACACCCTAATTTGAATTATCAACGGCCTAAAGATAGGCGTAGTAGACTTACATTACGAGTAGTGGCCATTTGCATATCTTTTTAATATTTAAAATAAAGCTAAAAACTGAAATATGATAGTTAAATTGATCGGCTGTAAAAGAAAAGAGATTGAGGGTTTCATAGAGAAGAGTTTGAGATCGCGAGTCTCAGTCGCCGGTGAGTCTCATCTTTCAGTCAACTACTTTTCCTACTCACAAAGCCTTATTTGTTTTGCTGCTTGTTTGATTTTGATGGGACTTGTGAGATCGGTGTTGCACCCTGCAAGTCGATATTAGAGAAAATGTTAGGGTTTCCACAGCTTTTGTTGTTGTCGTTCGCGCCTTGTTCCTTACATCTATCAACATCGATTTCATCCACAATCTCCAGTGGTTATAACAATCCCTCGAAGCTGCATCGCAAGCATAACTGTTTCCGTGGATATATGAATGAAATGTCTCAGAGATTACAAAACCGTGGAATTGAGCTTTCCGTCCATCTTTGGTCGGGCTCCTCCATTAGGGAACCGCTAATCACAGGTGCCATTGCTCTATAAGTTCACTCATGATTGATACAAATTTCCAAATTGACCTCTTGTTTTCCCTGATGGTTGATATTATTGTTTTTGAATTTCATGAATGTTTGTTTTAGTTTTTTCGATTGCTATCCTGTCTCAACATATGTATTATGATTATCAAGTGTTTCCAACCAAAGCGTAAGCTTCTTGGGTAAGTAGGAATCAGCTTGTTAGTAGTGATTGAACTCTGATTCTAATACCTGACTTAGAATTGAAGCTTCTACTAGCACAGCAAAAGTACATATATGCATGATTTGGTGCTTTGCAGTCTGTAATCACCAATTTATAGTAATTAAGCGTGAACTTGGTCCATGCAAATAATCCTATAGTTTTTCAAGGTTTGAATTGTTGAAACTTAGTACCATGTGAACTGTGTCAATAGTCACACCTTATCAAGTTACTTATTCACAGGTTAATGTTGTTGGGAAATTCATCTTAGCAGCTACTGCCTACTGGTGCTCATCCAAGTGTTGCTTGGATTATGGCAGCAAAGTAGTTGATCCCAAATCTACATGCCTTAACAAAACATAGGATTTCAAGACCCTAAGATTGAGGTACTACTCAATCCTTTTACTCAATTTAGTTTGATGTTTTACCTTACCAACTTTATTTCACTACAGAAGTGGAAGTGATTCATTTGTTGCAATATTCCTTTTCATGCTGGGTAATTCATTTTTATGTTTTGATTCTTACTGCTCTGTAGATGGTCAAATAGACATTGAAAGAATGCAAGTGGTTGCTGTTAACTGAAAGCGTTGTTCATCGTGGCTAAAGGAAAAATTCCATCAAGGTATCTTCAAATGTTGTACAAGTTGTCATGACCAATGTCTACTATTTCCCTCCTACTTTTATAAGCATGTGTCTTACCTAAATTCTTTCCAACTATGAAAGCTACTTTTTTGTTGCACATTATGTTGCATATAAGTGTACAACTCCAATCTTTGGCAGGTTTTCAACTAATAATCTTATGTTTTGACTTTTTATCTTGCATATGACTCATCAAACAAATTGCTTGCAAGTTGCATTGGAGGGACAATGGTGATTGTGCATAACGTGGACGCAAGTATGAATCATACGGGATGCAGGCCTATCAAATTGATGAATTCGCAAGAGTATAGGTCATGAACATGAGTAGCTTTGATTTCTGTCACTACGGAAAAGGCATAACAGAGTGCCTGTGAATGAGGAACTGAATGAAAACATAATGAGTAAAGTAGGGAAAGTGGTTGGAGACGTTTCTGTTTTATCAATTTTGTGAATTTGTTGCTCAAATTATGTGTTAGTGAATCCATGTTTAAATGCTCAATTAAATTGAATTGTGTTTAAATGTCAAACCTTTTCGAGAATCCATGTTGTTATTTCACTGTTGTTTACTCTAGATCAGTTTGTTATTGTTTATTAGTCTAGCTTTTTCAAGGTTTTATATAAGCTCTAATTACAACTTGTCTTAGTTCCCACGTCAGGTAAGAAACACGACCAATGAGGCTTTGAATGAATCCTACAATAAAGATAGTCAGGTGTAAGATTCTTCACTTTTCAGAACCCATATTAAGAACTTAATATGGTTTGCTGTGAGAAGTCATGATCTGATAGGAACTCAATTTCTATTCCTCTTTGGCTTACTGGCTACGCATAGAAATTTCTCGGATAATGCCCTTAAAAAATTCTTCTGATAGGTTAGTTGAGTTCATGAGTATGGATCAGGAGCTCTCCACCTGTAATGGACATTAAGGATCTGCGATTGTTTCTCATCATTAATGGTTGTCGATATTGTGTAACTGATAGACAAGTTGTTGAACAGGTCGATTAGTAAGTTGAGTTCTCTTTCTTGACACTCACACAATTGCATATGCCTTTCACGTCCACACGCAACTTAATTGGTTGGCTTTAAAGATTTACTTCAAAAAAAATTTCATCTGGTTTGCCGATACCATTTCAATTTGATATTTCTGATTCTGTCTCATTTTCTTTAGTTCCTCTACATTCAGACTTCTTCCAGCAAGGCTCTCTCTCCACAATTGATGGAAGGTTTTGCCTTACTATTGTAGTTGATAGGATCAAGCAAATTATGTCTATCGTTGATGTTTAATTGATAAGCTTAACACCGATAAATATCACCTTTATCTATAAAAAAGCTTAACGCCAGTAAACTGAGTTTTTTTACTTTCATTTCCCCTTCCCGTTTTTAACCTTTTCATTTCCCATTCCCAATACCCTGCTCATCACTTTTTCTAATAAAATTTTAAGTTACTTTTTTCATTAATGGGTTCAAGTGTTCTCAATGGTAGACTTCTGCAGCATAATGTATGTATATGGATGTGCTATTTTGTGACTCGGAAAAGAAAAACCTAACAGCCTCAAGTCTGTAAACCCTGCCAAATCACCCGACAGTTAGTAATTTCTGCACTCTCTCTTTTATTTTATAATAATAATAACTGTTCATGGAAACAATCTGCAACAACAGTAGAAAATTGCCAACTGACAAACTAATACTAAAAGCTTCAAGAATAGCTTACAGTCACCCCTAATCAACAAACAAAGGCAGGTTTTACAAGAAAAACCTAACAGCCTCAATTCTGTAAACCCTGTAAGCATGACATAATATCGTCTGATGGCCTGCATCGCCACTAATTCGACTGTATCAAACAATTAGAAGGAAGACATGCCCGCAGCTCGTCGGAACTTCTCATAGGAAACCCAGAACAGAAATTGCCAGGGGCCAAGTCTAGCCCAGGTAGGAAAGAAGCCTTTCCACAAAGCCTTCAACCCTTCAATTCTAATGGTTTTCACCAGACAATGGTACGAGCTTCTGTAAACACTCTTCCCATCGGCCTCATTCATCATCATCCTCGTTTTCACCACGTCAGCTGGACAGCTCAGGGAAGTAGCGCAGAGCCCTGACATTGTTGACGCCATTGTGTGGGCGTAGATGTTGTCATCTGCGATCCCATTCTGGATCACCAAACGCTTTGCGTGGTCGTAGCAGGCTAACTCCCCCATGTTTACTAGAAAAGCCCTTTGAATGTTTGGGATTACGCCCTTCCAGAGACCACTATAGCCCTCCGATGCCACTATCTTGCTCAAGGCGTCGATGGAGCCAGAGTATATTGGTTTCAAACCCTGGCTCGCCATTCGGCCGTCTGCTTGCATCCTGACCTTCACTAGATCAGCAGGGCTTGCCACTATCTACAGTACTAAGCACAACTAAGACCCATAAAACTTATGCATTCTGGAAGCGTAACGGAGATCAAAGCTCAAGTTTTCGAAGTGTAATAGAGGTAGAATAGCGAAATGTCTACCAATCATTATAATTACTGGTCACCGTAGGTGATGTAAGAGATCCAGCTGGTTATATCACAATCATTGATAAAAATAAGCAGAGTTAATCCCATTGTTAAAAAGGCTGAAGCGTGGATGGAATTTGTGCGATCTAATTGTGGCGTCCTCTTAGGGGCAACCCAACGCCGAAAGGGGAATTCTATGAACGCTAATGAAGTGGAGGAGACAGAGCTGCATACCTGAGCAAAAGCACCAGAAGCTCCACCGATGAGAGCTTTAATAGGGAGGGACATGGTGGAGACGCCATTCTCATCACCGACCATGAGATTCCTCAAATTCTCGTAACTCAAAATTCGAATGGGAGTGTAGAAGGAGTGTCTGATAATGGCAGGGAAGAGGCCCTGGTAGAGCCCTGGAATTCCCTGTCGGCGAAGGATATCGGAGGCGATACGGAAGGCATTGGTGGAGGAGGGAGCGGAGAGAGACTGGCCGTGGAGCTGGAGCCGTGTCTTCGTTAAATCGATTGGGAACGTGCCCGCCTCGGCGACCATGGCGGCAAGCGAAGTAAGTAGGATTTTTTTGTGGGTTGGAGCTGGATCGGCTCCGTGGGTCATGGCGGAGCGAATGGGGAAGGAAATGGCGGACGGTGGTGCACACTGCTCAGGACAACGGAGGACCAAAATTGAACGGTAAGGTTTTTTTCCCGTTTATTGGTTGCTTGTTAAATAACCATTGAAGTACTTATACTACACTTCGTGTTGCAAAACACATCCTACAAATGATGGATTTTAGAAATGAGGCAATAAAATTCAATTGCCTCCAAATTATCACATCTCATATTTGTTTTCATCATTTCAAAATATTTTTTCTTATTTTTATTTATTCTGGAAAAACAAAAGCAATTCAAATTGTCAATTCCTATCTTATGTTGCCAAACGAGAACATTTGACCTAAGTGTTACATTTTGATACAATAGAGTCAAATTGTCTCATCTAATTCCATCACCCAAACGATAATTTTACCATGTATTAAAAAATTTTCAGGGCCAGACCACATTTGCGGGAGGGAGGGTAAGAACCCGAGAGAGAGTTTTGTCGTCAACATAGTCGGGTTGCATTGTAAGTAGTGCTTATTTTTACTCATAATATGGATTGTGTTGTGTATAATTTTAGTTCGAATTGTATAATTTTATGTTGTCGGACGTGTTTGAGTACGAGTTGTAGTACCCACATTGTTTAATAAATTGATAAAGTGGGGGTACCCCGTTGTAATTGTCAAGAAGAGAGTCTACTACAGGGTATTTCGTCCTCCTAGGTGATAGCCCCATCTCCTGGCGCACGAAGAAACAAGAGGTTGTAGCACGATCATCTGCTGAAGCATAGTACAGGGCGATGGCAGTCACAGTAAGTGAAGTTGTTTGTTTGCGATGGTTTCTCCAAGAGCTAGGGGTGCCACAACAGTTGTCTACATCGTTGCACTGTGATAATCAGGCAACACTCCATATTGCACCTAATCCAGTGTTCCATGAATGGACGAAACACATGGAGATGGATTGTTACTTTTTTCGTGAGCACGTTGCATCAGGAGAAATTGCGTCACAGAAGATTCACACAGTTAGCCAAGTTGTTGACATATTTACGAAGGATTTGGGAGCTGAGCAGTTCAACGTCCTCAGTAACAAACTCGGACTTCACAATCTTCACTCCATCGTTTGAGGAGGAGTGTTGTTGGACGTGTTTGAGTACGAGTTGTAGTACCCACATTGTTTAGTAAGTTGATAAAGTGTGGGTACCCCGTTGTAATTTTCCAGGAGGGAGTCTATTAGGCTAATAACCCTAAGGTTAGCCGTGACACACACACACACATATATATAGTGCCTTCTACGGTCATCCAGGGTACCGCATACCTTGACTATGAAAACGCAATCTAGACCTCGAATTAGCAGGATTTTTGGGCATGATACTATACCCTTACCCTTAATGAGTGAACCCTAGGTCCTAATTATCTAAATCATAAACTATAAACCCTAAGATGGTGCATTGATTTTTTTTTGCCTATATTTGGACGAATCATAACCATCGATTATTAATTCTAATTAAATTGATCTAGGTCTAAGTTTCCTAAATCTTATACCGCAACATCAATTTAATTAGAAACAATAATAGACGGCTATGATTTGTCCAAATATAGGGGGGGTATGAGTGCCCCGTCTTAGGGTTTATAGTATAGGATTTAGATAATTAGGACCTAGGGTTCACTCATTAAAGATTAGGTTATAGTATGATAGAAACCCACGATTTCTATTATGGTCTTATTATTATTATTATAGTTATTATTAAGCTAATTACTAGTAGGGTTAGTAGTCTTTTAGTCGTATTAGGTTAATTGTTAGGGTTTTCCAGTTCTTTTGTTATAAATATGTACTCGCGTTTTATTCAGAGGAGTCAAGAAGAATATTAAGAAAACTCTTCCCCAAACCCTAATCTCCCTATCCTCTCAATTCTCGTTCTCAACCCTCTAAAGGCTTAGGCCAATTCTCTATCTTTCTCTTCTCAAGAGGTGATGGACAATGGAAGCTGGGTCTCCAACCACCTCTTAGCATTCCCTGCCAGAGAATGGGGGAAGAGATGAAGGCGGATTGCATCATCAGGGACACCATTCAGCTTGAACCCGTTCGTCAGCTGCAGAAAACGGGAAAGATGCACCCTGGCCTCCTCATCCTTCAAGCCATGGAACTGGATAGAGGATGTAATGAGCTGAATCCAGCATGGCTTGATCTCGAAGTTGTTTGCTGGAATAGGCGGGTAGAGGATGACCGGGCGGATGTCAGCAATCCAAGGAGTGTAGTAGTACTCCAAGGTGGGACCCGGTTGCGGTGGATGATGAACCCCATGATCCTGGGGTATGAGGTTGTTCCCCAGGACCTGATTCACCGGGGGAACCTGCTGAGGATTCCCCTGGTGCTGATTGTAGTCTCCGTCCATCCCGTACTCTTCTTCAGAATCGCTACTCAGGTGGCCGTCTATGCGCTCTTCCGTAGCCAGTCTAGCTCGCTGTTGTCTCCTGAGCTGGCGACAGGTGCGATCAATCTCTGGATTCAACGGCAGCAAACCTCCTGACTGGCTACGGGTCATGCACTACCTGCACACACTCAAGCAAGCAAACCCGTGAAGGCACAAGTGGGACAAAGCAAACAAAGCAAAAAGAAAAGCTAAATTAACATAAATCACTTTTCTTCAACAACCTAGCCGTTCCCCGGCAACGGCGCCAAAAACTTGACTCACTTCTACTGTCACTCCAGGAATTGGCCAAGTGAAACCACTTCCTAAAGCGTAGTATAGTGGGTTTGGGTTTAATTATCAACCCGGGTCCTAGATCTGATGACTACTCAGTGAATTCTTCTTATCTAGCAATGAAACTGGCATGCAAGTCTAAACTATCAAACTAACAAAGCAAGTAAACTGTTGTATTCAGGTTAAGAGAGGTCACCCGGATATGGTTCCCCCTAGACTGCAGTTAAGCCGGATTGTAATTACCAAGCTCAGTTTCTATGAGAGTTATACTGCGGAAGGTTCTTAAACAGCCTGAAGTCTCGACTAAAGGTCTTCAGACCCTCTCAATCTGAGTCTCTAGCGGGCGACTAACCTCCACCGGAGTAAACAGATTGAGGCCTTAACAAACAAAACCTCCACTACCGGAGTAAATCCGTTACATAATAGTGAGTTGGCTCCTCGACTAAATTCACCAACTCCCTACCTTCAATCAAGGATGCTCTATCAACCTAGGCAGATATTCTCATTCTAGGTTAAAGTAGAAACAACAGGAATTTGATCAGGATTCAAGTCATTCAATCATTCAAACCTCAATCGAATATAATCAAATCATAGAATCAGTACTTGGGTTCATACAATCAAAGCCTAACATATAAATCTAGGGTTCTCCATACCCAGATGAATGGGAGAACTACTCCATGGAGAAAGAAGCAAAAGCAGAATCAGACGCGGAATTCATACTGTAAAGGATGGATTCCTGCTCCTGGACGTTGATCGGCACTTCTCCACGCTCAAACTGGCCTCGAATGGCGTTGAAGATCAAGCTAGGGCACTTGGAGACTCTAGTTCGTCGCTTTCTCTCTCTAGGAATCGTTCTGTCTCTCTAAAACTCGAATCCCCTCGACTTGTGGCTGAAAATCTGCTTAAAAGCAGAAAATCCCGACTCACACGGGCAGGCCGCACGGCCGTGTGGCTCACTCAGTTTCCCGTGCGGCTCCAAACGCAGCGTATTGATTAGTTAAATTCCAGGCTTCTTACACGGCCAGGGTCGCACGGCCGTGCAGCTCACCTTGCACGGCCGTGTGGATTTTCTGCTCTGCCCGTGTTTGCTCTCGCACAATCCCACACGGCCAAACTGGCCACTTGCACGGCTGTGTGGGTTGTGGGTGTGCCCGTGCGACTTCCTTTGTGACTTGCCTCGCGCCCGATCTTCGCCCAATCGACCCCGAACTCGCTTCTAAACCTTCATTCACTTGCCAGGACCTGAAATATCACAAACAAGCACAACCTAGCGTGAAATCGGTCTAAAAAACGAGAAACCACATATCAAACGGTGTAAGAACAGGGGTGAAAACATGTGTAATTAACGGTCTATCAAACTCCCCCACACTTAACCGTTTGCTTGTCCCCAAGCAAACCTAACTCAAACCAATGCAACTCTCCAGACCTCTATAGCAACAAACAACCCAGATCGTAGGTAGAGGACTTCCTAGATCATTTAGCAGCTTACGAGGTCAACCGACGCACAAGTCATCTCATAGCTTCTTCGGCGAGAGCACTAGTATCGAGTCGGCATCATGGCAAATAGTGAACAGAGGACAAATGAATTGTGGATGAAGAGATTGTCAAAAACAAAAGATCATGGACTCACATTTTTCAAGGTGCTCTATTTTCTTCTTGAAGATGGTTGGAACCCCTTTTCTTTCTGTTTTGATTGTTTTCTGTTATTTTTTTCCTTTTCTTTTTTTTTTCAAGGGTCCCAACCTGCTCTTACCGGCCATGCCAGGAGCGGATGTCTCGAGCCTCGTGCGGGGGAAAGACATGTAAGGGGGCTGGAGGTAGTAGGTGGAAATTGAGAACAGATTCCCGTCTCCCCTTACACACTTTCGCCCTATTCGCACGGGAGACGTTATTTTTCAGCACATTTTCGAGCACCTGTTATTTTCAAAACATGATACAAGAGTCCATGACAGGTAGAGAATCCACAACACCACACAATTCAAGGGTCCTAAGATCACTAATTCACTCAATCAACCAACACAATACGAAGAAGAAATGAGATTTCTTAAATGCATCAACATCCTTCATAGTGCTACACTACCTCCCTAGGTTGCATATTACTATAAAGACTGTCAATTCAAAGCATACTGAGCAGGCAATTGCACGGAAACACGTACTTGGAGCCCTCAAATTTAAAATTTTGGACAGTGGACTAGGCTCCAAGCACACAAACAGATCTAATGCAGTCAAAAGATAAACATCCCCCCACACTTAAGATCGACATTGCCCTCAATGGAGAAGAGGGAAGGGAAAGGGGAACGATGTTACCGGTATGCACGGACTGCAGGAGACTGGAAGCAGACCAGTCGGAGTGAAGCGGACTGGAGAGAGGACCAGTCAAGACAAGCACAGCCAAAGGAAACCAAAGAGCTCAAACACAATATGTTAGGTCCAATGGTCAGCCCAATAAAACAGCATCCAAAACAAAATAAAACAAACCAAAACCAACTGGTTTACAATCCGACTCAAAACACAAGAAAGAAAGTCAAACCGTGGTGGGGTTGCCTCCCCACAAGCGCTTCTTTACCGTCTTTTAGCTGGACGCCAATTGCGGAACTAAGGGTCCGCGAGCTCCACTGCCAACTCCGCACGTTCGACCTCGTCTCCCAGGTAGAGCTTGAGACGATGGCCATTCACTTTTAACGGTTCAGTTTGCGGGTTGGCAATTTCAATCGTGCCATACGGGAACACCTGTGTGACCGTGTACGGTCCAGACCACCGGGAACGGAGTTTTCCAGTAAAGAGTTTCAGGCGAGAGTTATAAAGGAGAACTCGATCACCAACCTGGAACTCTTTCAGACCCCGCAACCGTGCATCGTGCAGGCGCTTAGTGCGCTCCTTGTACAGCTTGGTGTTCTCATAGGCGTGATTACGCCACTCTTCCAGCTCCAACATCTGCATTTTTCGCTCAACACCTGCAACATTAACATCCAAGTTTAGCAGCTTAAGGGCCCAGAAGGCCTTGTGCTCTAGCTCCACGGGCAGATGGCATGCCTTTCCATAGACAAGCCGGTACGGTGAGGTACCAATGGGCGTCTTGTAGGCAGTGTGATATGCCCACAGAGCATCATCGAGCTTGGTGGACCAATCCTTGCGGGATAGGTTCACCGTCTTCTCCAAGATCTGCTGGAGCTCCCGGTTCGTCAGCTCGGCCTGGCCACTGGTTTGAGGATGGTAGGCCACGGACACCTTATGAGTTACACCATAGCGAGACAACAATTTATCGAACTGACCCTGGAAATGGGTGCCTCGGTCGCTTATGATGGCTCTCGGTGTCCCGAACCGGAAGAATAGCTGCTTCAGAAAACCACAAACACGTCTAGCATCATTAGTGGGCAAAGCTTGCGCCTCAGCCCACCTAGAGACGTAGTCAACAGCAACAAGGATATATGTATTACCAAAGGATGGAGGGAAGGGGCCCATGAAGTCGATACCCCAGACATAAAAAATCTCACAAGTAATAAACACATTTTGGGGAATCTCATCACGGGCAGAGATGTTACCTGACCTCTGGCATCGGTCGCACCTGCATGCGAAGGCGTCTGCGTCCTTGAAGAGCGTGGGCCAGTAGAAGCCCGACTGGAGCACCTTCCTCGCCGTGCGGTTTCCTCCGTGGTGACCGCCATCAGGTCCTTCATGACAGTGAGATAGAATGCCCTCCATCTCACTCTCCATAACACATTGACGGATGATCCCGTCGGCTCCGATCCTGAAGAGATGAGGGTCATCCCAGAAGTAATACTTCAGGTCGGAGAAAAACTTCCTCTTGGCGTGAGTTGTCATCCCCTTGGGCAGCTACTGGCCCACAAGATAATTTGCAAAATCAGAATACCAGGGGGTGACACTCTCCACCAGGCACATCATCATCAGTCTCTCATCTGGAAAGGAGTCATTGATCTCCTCCTCGAGGTTGTCCGCAGGAGGTGCGTCCAACCGAGAGAGGTGATCGGCAGCAACATTCTCCGCTCCCTTCTTGTCCCGAATCTCAATGTCAAACTCCTGCAGCAGTAAGATCCATCGTATGAGCCTAGGCTTGGCATCAGCCTTGCTCATCAAGTATCGAATCGCAGAGTGATCTGTATACACGGTCACATGGGACAAGACCAGATAAGGACGAAATTTATCGAAGGAAAACACCACCGCGAGCAGCTCCTTCTCCGTGGTGGTGTAGTTCTCCTGGGCATCATTCAAGGTATTCGAGGCGTAGTTGATAGGTCGGAAATGCTGATCTCGCCTCTGCCCCAACACAGCTCCAACAGCAAAGTCACTGGCATCGCACATAATCTCAAATGGCAGGGACCATTCAGGAACAACCATGATAGGAGCTTGTGTGAGCTTCTCCTTCAAGGTCGTGAAAGCCGCTGTGCATGCATCAGTGAACTGGAAGGGGGCATCCTTCTCTAGAAGCTTAGTCAGGGGCAGAGAAATATTCGAGAAATCCTTGATGAATCGCCTGTAGAACCCTGCATGACCAAGAAAACTCCGGATCCCCTTAACAGATGTAGGAGGAGGCAGCTTGCTGATAGTCTCGATCTTCGCTCTGTCCACCTCAATCCCCATCTTGGAGATCTTATGCCCAAGAACTATGCCTTCTCGAACCATGAAGTGACACTTCTCCCAACTCAGTGCCAGGTTTGTCTCTTCACACCGTTTAAGGACAAGCTCCAGGTTATGGAGACAGTGAGAAAATGAGTTTCCATAAACCGAGAAATCGTCCATAAACACCTCCATAATCTCGCCGACCAGACGGTCAAAGATAGCCAGCATGCATCGCTGAAAAGTGGCCGGGGCATTGCATAGCCCGAATGGGATCCTCCGGTAGGCAAAAGTGCCGAAGGGGCAGGTGAAAGTGGTCTTCGCCTGGTCCTCCGGTGCAATAGGGATCTGGAAGTACCCGGACATCCCATCCAGGAAACAGTAGAACTCGTGCCCCGCCAGTCTCTCCAGCATCTGATCAATGAATGGTAGCGGGAAGTGGTCCTTCCGAGTGGCGTCGTTGAGACGCCTGTAATCAATGCAGACATGGTACCCAGTCACCGTGCGCATCGGGATCAGCTCATTCTTCTCGTTAGGCACCACAGTCATCCCACCCTTTTTGGGTACCACCTGGGTGGGACTGACCCACTCGCTGTCGGAAACGGCGAAGATGATCCCCGCGTCCAGCAGCTTTACAATCTCTGTCCGAACCACAGCCTCCAGGTTCGGTGTCAGTCTTCTCTGCGGCTGTCTCACTGGCCGCATCTCATCCTCCATCAGTATCCGGTGGGAGCAGAAAGAAGGGCTGATCCCCCGGATGTCTGTGATCGAGAGCTCGCTCGTACCGCTTCATCAAGGTCACCAGTCTGGTCTTCTGCTCGGGTGTGAGGGTCGAGCTGATGATGACTGGCAGCTTATTCCCCTCCCGGAGAAATGCATACTCCAAATGAGGAGGGAGGGGCTTAAGCTCCAGCTCTGGTGGTTCCTCCAAGGAAGTAGCGATGCGGGTGGAGGATGAGATCGGTTTGAACAGCCTGTCGCCCTCCAAGAAGGGGCCACTCTCCAACTCGGCCAACTGCTCCGCCAGCTGCGGCTCCTGTGATGCCTGCTCATCTAGCAAAATACAACGCTCAAGAACATCGTCAGTACCCGACGAGTGCGGTCTCAAAATCAGCAAGCATATCACAGTAATCTATGTCATCATGCAAATGAGAGTGTTTCCCATTCTCAGACACAGAAAAGGTAGCCTGTTCATCACCAGCACGCAGAATCAATTTACCACTATGCACATCAATAAGCGCCTTGGCGGTGGCGAGAAACGGTCTACCTAAAATCAAAGGTACATCCACATCCTCATTTATATCCAAAATAACAAAGTCGACAGGATATGTGAATGCACCCACATTAACAAGCAAGTCCTCAATGATACCCCTAGGATGCACGATAGAACGATCAGCTAACTGAATGCTCATCCTAGTAGTTCTAGGTTCACCTAGGCCTAGCTTCTTAAACAAATTATAAGGCATGACATTTATGCTAGCGCCTAGGTCCGCCAAGGACTTTCCTACATGCATGCTGCCAATAACAAGAGGGATAGTAAAACTCCCTGGGTCTTTTCGCTTCTCGGGCAGCTTGTTCTGCAGGATGGCAGAACACTCCTCGCTCAGCATCACTGTCGAAAGATCCCCAAGTTTCTTCTTGTTGGTGAGGAGGTCCTTCATGAACTTGGCATACTTGGGCATCTTCGACAGTGCCTCCACGAACGGCATGCTGATGTTGACCTACTTCAACATTGCCATGAACTTGGCAAACTCAGTCTCCAGCTTGTCTTTATGCAGGCGAGTGGGGAAAGGAACCTGAGGTACATGCTCCTTAACCACTGGCTGCGGCTTGGGAGCAGGCGTTGTTGTGTCTTCCCCCACTTCTACAGTATCAGCTGGAAGGGTTGAAGCAGGTAGTGGCTCATCTCGACTGGGCTGGGCAGGAGCGGCTGATGTGGTCTTGCCGCTCCTGGTGGTGATGGCATCAAGCTGCTGGTGCTGGTGAGGATCACGAGGATTCGGAACAGTGGTAGCAGGCAGAGTCCCCGGTGCCCTGGTAGTGTTCTGGCGGGCCAAGATACCCACCTGGGTCTGCAGGTCCTGCAAAATGGCACCCTGGTTCCTCTGACCTGCCTCCAGTGACGTGATAGCTGCCTGAGTGCTAGTCATGAATGAAGCTAGAATATTTTCCAGCTTCGTCATCTGGGTATCTGGAGCCGGAGCTGCTGCTGGCTCGGCAAACTGGCACTGGGGCTGCTGGAATGGTTGCCCTTTCCTAGGCGGGTAGGGCTGCTTCTGTGGGGCTGGCCCCTGTCGAGCCTGGAAGGGCTGTCTCTGCTGAAAGCCACCAGCTGGTGCTGGGAAACCAGGCGGCTTAGTTGTGTTGCTGCCCCAAGAGAAGTTGGGATGCTGGCGCCACCCCTCATTATATGTATTGCTGTACGGGTCGAGGCGCCTAGCATTGGCGATGAAGTCTGACTGCTCTTGGGGAGTGGTAGACTCCCTCATAGCCTGGCAGTCCTCCACTAGGTGATTGGAGCTCTCGCACCACTGACATTGAGCTACTGGAGGTGTAGCCAAACCTCTGCCCGGAATAAGACTGTTGGGCTGCTTCAATGTCTGCACCAGTTCAGCTACCTGTTGCTCGAGCCCGGATCTGGTCTCCATGGCGTGCACACCACGGTCCCAGGAATGTCTGCCTCTGCTGCTCTGCCCCCAAGAATGATCTCTAGCAGCCAAGGTATTGATCATCTGGTTCAGCTCGGGTGGAGTCTTAGTAAGAATATCCCCTCCTGGGCATAGAGACTCAATCACCCTCTGGCTGTCTGGAGAGAGAGCACTGTAGAAGTTCCCCACTGTGAAAGCATCACTAAAGCCATGATGGGGACACTGCCAGAAGTATCCCATGTACCGCTCCCATGCATCACGAAGTGACTCATCTGGCTCTTGGCGGAAGTGAGTGATCTCCCGCTGGATCTCTGTAGTCTTCGATGCCGGATAGTACCTGTGCACGAATTTGTCAGCCAGATCGTCCCAAGAGGTGATAGACAATGGGGGCTGGGTCTCCAACCACCTCTTAGCATTCCCCGCTAGAGAATGGGGAAAGAGATGAAGGCGGATTGCATCATCAGGGACACCATTCAGCTTGAACCCGTTCGTCAGCTGCAGAAAACGGGAAAGATGCACTCTGGCCTCCTCATCCTTCAAGCCATGGAACTGGATAGAGGATGTGATGAGCTGAATCCAGCATGGCTTGATCTCGAAGTTGTTTGATGGAATAGGCGGGTAGAGGATGACCGGGCGGATGTCAGCAATCTGTGGAGTGTAGTAGTACTCCAATGTGGGACCCGGCTGCGGTGGATGATGAACCCCATGATCCTGGGGTATGGGGTTGTTCCCCAGGACCTGATTCACCGGGGGAACCTGCTGAGGATTCCCCTGGTGCTGATTGTAGTCTCCGTCCATCCCGTACTCTTCTTCAGAATCGCTACTCAGGTGGCCGTCTATGCGCTCTTCCGTAGCCAGTCTAGCTCGCTGTTGTCTCCTGAGCTGGCGACAGGTGCGATCAATCTCTGGATTCAACGGCAGCAAACCTCCTGACTGGCTACGGGTCATGCACTACCTGCACACACTCAAGCAAGCAAACCCGTGAAGGAACAAGTGGGACAAAGCAAACAAAGCAAAAAGAAAAGCTAAATTAACATAAATCACTTTTCTTCAACAACCTAGCCGTTCCCCGGCAACGGCGCCAAAAACTTGACTCACTTCTACTGTCACTCCAGGAATTGGCCAAGTAAAACCACTTCCTAAAGCGTAGTATAGCAGGTTTGGGTTTAATTATCAACCCGGGTCCTACATCTGATGACTACTTAGTGAATTCTTGTTATCTAGCAATGAAACTGGCATGCAAGTCTAAACTATCAAACTAACAAAGCAAGTAAACTGTTGTATTCAGGTTAAGAGAGGTCACCCGGATATGGTTCCCCCTAGACTGCAGTTAAGCCGGATTGTAATTACCAAGTTCAGTTTCTATGATAGTTATACTGCGGAAGGTTCTTAAACAGCCTGAAGTCTCGACTAAAGGTCTTCAGACCCTCTCAATCTGAGTCTCTAGCGGGCGACTAACCTCCACCGGAGTAAATAGATTGAGGCCTTAACAAACAAAACCTCCACTACCGGAGTAAATCCGGTACAGAGTAGTGAGTTGGCTCCTCGACTAAAGTCACCAACTCCCTACCTTCAATCAAGGATGCTCTATCAACCTAGGCAGATATTCTCATTCTAGGTTAAAGCAGAAACAACAGGAATTTGATCAGGATTCAAGTCATTCAATCATTCAAACCTCAATCGAATATAATCAAATCATAGAATCAGTACTTGGGTTCATACAATCAAAGCCTAACATACAAATCTAGGGTTCTCCATACCCAGATGAATGGGAGAACTACTCCATGGAGAAAGAAGCAAAAGCAGAATCAGACGCGGAATTCATACTGTAAAGGATGGATTCCTGCTCTTGGACGTTGATCGGCACTTCTCCACGCTCAAACTGGCCTCCAATGGTGTTGAAGATCAAGTTAGGGCACTTGGAGACTCTTGTTCGTCGCTTTCTCTCTCTAGGAATCGTTCTGTCTCTCTAAAACTCGAATCCCCTTGACTTGTGGCTGAAAATCTGCTTAAAAGCAGAATATCCCGACTCACACGGGCAGGCCGCACGGCCGTGTGGCTCACTCAATTGCCCGTGCGGCTCCAAACGCAGCGTATTGATTAGTTGAATTCCAGGCTTCTTACACGGCCAGGGTCGCACGGCCGTGCAGCTCACCTTGCACGGCCGTGCAGCTCACCTTGCACCGCCGTGCAGCTCACCTTGCACGGCCGTGCAGCTCACCTTGCACGGCCGTGTTGATTTTCTGCTCTGCCCGTGTTTGCTCTCGCACAATCCCACACGGCCAAACTGGCCACTTGGACGGCCGTGTGGGTTGTGGGTGTGCCCGTGCGACTTCCTTTGTGACTTGCCTCACGCCCGATCTTCGCCCAATCGACCCCGAACTCGCTCCTAAACCTTCATTCACTTGCCAGGACCTGAAATATCACAAACAAGCACAACCTAGCGTGAAATCGGTCTAAAACACGAGAAACCACATCTCAAACGGTGTAAGAACAGGGGTGAAAACATGTGTAATTAACGGTCTATCAGTCAATCACTTGATCGGTAGCGCTTCACCGGCGGAGATCGACGAAGAAAATGACGGGTGCAGATCGAGGAAGCAGCGCCAGCCAAGGCAGTTGCGCAGTGTGATGCCAAGTGGCGTGGAGAAATAGCGTTGTTGAACGAGACAAGTAAAAAGAGCGTGCGACAGAGAGGCGCGTCCAGGGAGGGCGATGAGGAGTCGACGATAGTGATCTTGGCCAATCCGTTGATCGGAACCTCCTCGCTAGTTGACTTCGGTAAGGCAGACCCGACGGCCGATTTCGTTAGCAAACCGCCATAGTTTCGGGAGGTTGTAGTAGCCATGGACGTCAACGTGGAAGCTGCCTCCAACCAGCTAGAAGCCAGCCCTGGGGGACAAATCCATCTTTCCTCGACGACTCTAGCGTGGTCGGCGGCCGTACCCGTCAATCCAAGCTGTAGGAGAGCAAAGTACAAGGCGACGAAGGTTACGTTTCCTTTGAAAGTTGGAGCAGTGATCGGAAAGGTAAGAAGTGTGGGTTTAACTAAGAATGTTGCATCATGGAAGTTCAAGAAGAAGACAGGGTTGCTGAAGATCGGAGCATCTCCAGTGAGGGAGAAAAAGAGGGAAGCCCCAATAGCGAGAAAGATGGGGACGGTGGCTAGCGACGACGGGATTGGCCGCCGATATCGAGGAGGAAGAAGAAGAAGGGAGGTGGAGGCAGCGTTGACATTTCTCTAGCGAATCCTAGGCGATTGGCTTTGAGTTTACGGGACAACGAACAGAAACGGCAGCAATTCGCTGAATTGGGCTGGAGGAATTGGGCCGACGGGCCAAGAAAAATGGAGATGGGCTGGATTGATCGGCGAGTGAATCTTGGGCAGGAGTAGAGCAAGCTCGGTCATGAAGAAGACCGTGTTGGGCTTTTCCGGGGTATTTCGGGCCAGCAGTGTGAGCTGAAGAAGAAGGCCTCTGCTGCGGTCGAGAGGAAGAGGGAGTCCAAGATACCTGCAAGTGGCGGGTGGAATAGTGCCATTCCCTCATCGATGTCTACGATAGTAAACAAGGAAGATCACTCTGTACAAAATGGGGTTTCCAAATTTGGAAGCGAAGGAGGCAAAATGAGGGGTACGAGAAGAAGCGTAGGATGAATAATGTAAAGTGGGTGTTTCCTTGCAAAGTCATAAGAAAAAAAGAGGGGCAGCAGGAAGCTTATGTGGAGCTAGGCTCCATTTTTTGGCATGTGTAGGGAGAAGGTGGAAGGAGGTGATTGATGGAAGAAGTTGCATACGTGGAGAAGAAAAATGGTGTCTGTCCCCATGCAAGAATGGATTGCGCCAAGAGCCGGGACTGGTTATGAGGATCCGCTCCTTACGTCGACAATTCCAATGCTTGTTGTCGCCTCTCTTGTGTGGTCATGTACTCGCATGCATGGGACGTGGCCTAGAATAAGATGGGGACATTCAGGGAATTTGTTTGCTTCAAAAGCATCAGCTGCAAATGATTTTGATGGTACCTATGGCAAGGGTTTGGGGGCTACTGCAGCTACTTGTGCTAGAAGCTTAGTTCGAGTCCGTGAACGAAATTGGAAGAGGAGGAAGCGTGGATCATTATCGAGAAGAGTGGAAGTGTGGAGATGGGTTTGATAACAACCTTGGGGACAAGGTTGTTCTCATGGGGGAGCGGATGATAGAAACCCATGGTTTCTATTATGGTCATATTATTATTATTATAGTTATTATTAAGCTAATTACTAGTAGGGTTAGTAGTCTTTTAGTCGTATTAGGTTAATTGTTAGGGTTTTCCAGTTCTTTCGTTATAAATATGTACTCGCGTTTTATTCAGAGGAGTCAAGAAGAATATTAAGAAAACTCTTTCCCAAACCCTAATCTCCCTATCCTCTCAATTCTCGTTCTCAACCCTCTAAAGGCTTAGGCCAATTCTCTATCTTTCTCTTCTCAAATCTCTAATTCTGTTCTTAATCCCTAAATCCCCAATTCTCGATAAATTCCTAATCTCAGGTTCTATCATAGTACCAAGCCCAAAAATTCTGCTATTTCGAGGTCTAGATAGTGTTTTCATACTCAAGGTATGTGGTATCCTGGATTTCACACGAGGTACCGTAGAAGCCACCATATATGTGTTGTTAGCTGCCGAGTGGCTGTCGTGTGTGTGGTGTAGTTCTTGGTTGAAAACCTAATAAAAGTATTGCAAGCTCCTTGAGTGAACTTGTGGTGGATTAGTCCCGTTCTTACGAACAGGGATACCATGTAAATCGGCATCTTGTTTCCTTCTTCCGCATCGTTTTTATCATTTTATGATGTGGTTTGAATATATTGATATATAATTTTTATACTTTTTATAATATGATATGTATACTTTGTATTATTAATTTATATACATTTATAATCTTGTTTCTTGTTTTGTATACTTTACATAATTGACTTATACTTTTATAATATGATGTGTATACTATGTTAATATACTTTTAGGTTATTCTATAATATTGTTGGTACACTTTGTATGATTTGTACAATTGGTTTTTACACTTTGTCTACTTTTTAGTATTCATTTCTATATGGTTTCTATATTTTGGCAAAATACACTTGTATAACCATAATTTTCGCGTTTTTGTCAATAATAGCCAATTTCAAAAAAGTACACAAAATAGCCGATTTTGTCAAATTCTTTAATGATCTAACAAGCTAACCGGACTAACAGAAAGGCTGACTTAGTGACATTTTGTTACTAACAATTTCACGTGGATAAATGAAAAAAAAAATTATGGTTCTTTTAATTTGTGAAAACTAAAAACAAAGTATATAAATAAATAAAACAAAATGGAATAACAAACACTAAGGGGTCGTTTGGTTTTGATGATTGTTTGGTTGAGATAGTTACAATGCATGTGTAGACACCACATTTTGTCCGGTTCTTTTAATTTGTGAAAACCAAACGACCCCTAAACTCTTTGAGCAGTTGCACTTCGACGTCTCCATCGCGGATTGGTTGGAGAAGGCAATGTCGGGTACCTAGAATTTGCATTGTCATCATTGCCTATTGTTTGAATACCTTCTTCGCGGGCCATGGTGGCAGTTTAGAGTCAAGGTTGGACTCGGAGGGATTGCAATCGGGGTCGTCAAAAAGGAGAAATGTTGGTGGTGGTGGTTTAGCAGTTCCACAATCCCTAATCCCCAAATCGTCGTCACCATCTCCACCATCACCATTGACGGAAATGGAGTTGTTGCTTCAGGTGTGGTTGCAGATTGATGTCATCAAAGTCGGTTTGTGGAGGAGCTAATGGTGATTGTCGGCGACGTTGTGTGGCTGCAGATGTTCATTGGGGTCTGGATTGGGAACGACTATTAAGAAGAGAAGGAGAAGACATATTTGGATTTTTTAAGCTACTTCTCCTCTCTCTTCTTTACCCTTCTTTTCCCCCTGTCGCCGCTCCCCATACGACAGAGATGGAATTCCATCGTTTTCCTCCGGCTCTTCAAAAGTCTAGAATTGGGCATGTCTCGTTGCTTCTCTTCCTCTTCTTTCCCCTTCTTTTTCTCTCTCTTCTTACATAAACATCGACTCCAAGTTCGCCGGCAACTGCTCTAGCACTTTGGACGGTGAGACCAGAAGTCATCGCCAGGTCGCAAGTCTCTCTCCCCTTAAACAACGTAACCTCCTTGATCAACTCAGGATTGGAAAAGGGCGAAATGGCATAGAAGTGCGATAGAGGGAGTATTGGTGGGTTTGGGGGATTGGAAAAGGCTAAGGTTTTTATCTATTGGTATGCTACGATTTGGGAATCGTCATTGAAGGGGTAGATATTTGAGCAATTGAAAAAGTTCCATGGGGTTCGGGGGAGATTTGGGAGTGTCAAATTGGAATCCAAAACTTTATGGTTCAGGGGAAAAGAAAAAGAAATCATAGTGGGGGAAGGAGCATAGGAGGGATTGGAAAGGTTTTGGTGTCTGCAGAATATCATTAAGGGGTTGGATTGGATTGAGCTAGATGGAGTGGGCAAAGAGAGTGTTGTTACTCTTGCTGCAACGGGTCAAAAAAGAGGAATAAGGGGAAAACAGGGAAACAAAGTGCTAATAACACCTAAATTGGTGTTATTTAGTCCTCACACCTAGGCTCTCTTTGGCTCATTTCATGTGCATATTGAAAGATACATTGTCAATTACACCTCTATTTTGTTCCTCGAAGAATATATCGTTATATTAGAGTGTATTAGACAATTAGGTACCAAAAGGACACAAGTAGTGTAGCAGGAATGGAGCAAAGCTGAAGATCCCGATCGAGAAAAGAGCATGCAAAGTGAGAGCTATGATCGCGACCAGTGGAGCAAAGATCACGACCGCGATGTTGGAAGCTCTATTCGTGAACTTTAGGAAGGAGCCAACCCAGGAGAAGCAGAGAGTTTTGCCAGTCGAATCACATTCTTCACCTTCCCAGCCCGAGAGAAAGATCGTGGCCGCGACCGTGAAGTCAGCCCGCGATATCCCCTTGGACAAAGAGCAGAACGACGACACTTGAAGATCGTGGCCTCCCTGCTCAAGTTCTTGCCCGGTGAACTTTAACCTACATCCATGAACTTGCCCAAAATCTTTGAATTTTATAAATAGGGGGTTCCGCCCTTGAGAAGATTGCTTTTGGAAAAAAAAAAATTATTCTAGAGAGAGATTAGAGAGAGAAGTAGAAGCTTGGAGAAGAAGTGGAGGAGAACTTTGGAGGAGAACTTCCATCAATTGAAGACCCTTTATTCATGATTTCTTCTCCTCTTTGTATGTCTTTACTTCTCCTCTTCATGGGGTAATCTCCCGAGGTACTATGGATAATACTCCTCAAACCCTATTTTAGGTTTATAATGTAGATGAATGAATTATGTTAGGCTTTATGAATGAATGTGTTTGTTCTAGTGATTATATGTTTCATTTATGCTTAATTATGCTTTGATAAGTCGCCCTACTCTTCTCTACTAGCCTATGATGAGGCAACACTAGGTAGGAGTTTTAGAGTTAGATTGGGTAGCTTCAATTGGCATATTAAGGGTAGATGAATGATCTTAGGGGTTTGTAGTGGACAAGGCGATCATGCCCCTGCTACAAGAACACCTTAGTAGACGATGATTTATAGGAACACAAGCGTGTATCGATCCATCTCTTTGGTGTGCACGATAGTTGAAATGAGCTAAATTCATAATGCCCTAGAAATGTGAGCCTTAACTAGGTGACAATGGGTCTTGGGGACGTACTCGTGGGCGTGGGATAATGACGAAGGCCCACAAAATTAGAAAGCTCACACACCATATATGATAAACCTAACATAGTTAGTCATTTGCATCTTAGACCTAAACTAGGGCGAGTTCCCCTGAGTACCTGTTCTATTTAATCGATCTTTAGTTTAGGAATCGCCAACTGCCCGCATGCTAAGTAATAGGTGTGCATCGACTTATAAATTTAAAGCTACATCACAACGCGATCAAGGACATGGGTAAAAAATTAATAAAACATTTGTATAGTAAAAGTGAGGTTGTGTTGTCGTTGATGTGAGGGTTGAATTGCCATCCTACTCAGCGAATCATTAACCTAACAGACGAGATATCTAACACCGTTAAAGTTTGTAACATAAATGACTAGTTTTGTCAAAGAACCATGTAAAATTCTGGCTGTTATGTGTATCTCTCAAAAAGTGGTTATTATTATCACAAGCTTGAAAGTTGTGGCTATGCAAATGTATTTTGCCTACACAAAACAACACTACAAGGTGTAAAATAGTACAAAAACATACTCACGTTCTAAACTAGGCACATTGATCAAATAGTTATGAAATTCATATAGAACATATAAAAAAGGGCTAATACCACTAGGAAACCCGAACTATTAACTTTGAGTCATTTGTATCCTAAAGTATCCGATATGACATTTGTGTCCTAAACTATTTTTCCGTTAGAGTTTACTGGCGTTGACCGTTAGTTTATAACAGAAAGTCTAATAAGTGTTGATGTGGCATCTGACCTGGAACTTTTATTATTATCTTTTTATTTTCCCTTTTGATTATAAAATAATTAAAATGAATAAATTGGAAATTGAAACCTCCGCCACCACCAAAACCCTCCTCCTCGGCAAATCCTCTCCTTTGCTTCCCGAGCCGCCGGAAACTCCGCTCAGCTCTCCCCTTCTTTGTCAAAGGATTCCGACGCTGGAACAACTGCTGCCTCTTCACCTCCACTCCTCTCCTCGCATCCCTAATCGGTTACCACATCCCACCTGATCGAGTCCTCCTCTTCCTGTCACTCCAATCGAGGCGATTCTTATTCCGTCTCTGGGCAATTCTACCTAAGGGAGAGAGGAGGGACGATGAATGGTCAAGATATGAATGGTCAATACCCACTCGTCTCTTACTCTTCCGACAGCTGAGGAGCGGGAACGGGGCTTTCTATTCAGTAAACGCATATGGTGACGCGCAGCAGCGATGCATATGAGCGGGAAGGCGCGGCGGCTGGAGATTTGCCAGGATTCATCGCCTGCACTATATCAAATTTTGACAAAAATGTCGCCCTCTCGCCCTTTTCGTCGATTTCTTCCTTGAAACACTCCGATTCTGGTAGAATTTGGCTCCCTCTCTCAGTTCCACGCTCTGAACGAGGGGTCGGACTTGCCTGCCGGGAAGTCTCCATGCTGCACTTCATTTCCGGCTCTGTGTGACAAATTAAGGTTCTAAGTGAATTATGGATTTCTTAAAAGTTGCAGGGCAGGACATCCGGAAGAAATTTAAGGATGATTACATCATCGGAGCCAACAAATCCACTCGAGACTTAGTTGACGGAGTGGAGATTGGTGATTTAAAACTTCGCCAGAGAGAGGAAGAGGAAGAAGCAGGGGCAGCTTTTTATTTTCTTAATTATTCTTTATTTTATAATGTTTCTATTTTAATTTTTATTTAGTTTTAGTAAAAAATATGATGTGTCAATGACGTGGCATCTATGTGGCTGCCACGTCAACAAAAGTCAATGTTAATGTTGACTTCCATTTGGTCAACCGTTATCTATAACGGCCAACGAAATCGTCAGGACATAAATGACACACAACTATCATACGTTGTGACACAAATGTCATATAGGATACTTTAAGACACAAATGGCACAAAGTTAATAGTTCGGGTTTCCCAGTGGTATTAAAAAGCATCCAGCGGCAGCGCCTGAGTCTAAGGCTTCGGCGCTTTAAACATATCAAAAAACACAATATTCTTGTAAATACTTTTCAAAACACTATATTCGTGGTAAATTAAAAAAAACAATATTTAGAGAATTAACCCGATGGGTGTAAGGAGTAGATAGGAAGAAGGAGAAGGAGGTAGTTTTCATTAGGGGTGTACATGAGTCGGTTGGGTTGGGTTTTGATCATTATTGTCACCGACCCATAGACCACAGTTTACACATCATGAAATCCAAACCCACCCAATAAAATTAGAACCCACACGGTTTGGGTCGGTTCGGATCGGAGAGTAAATCCAACAAAACCCAACCCATACATCACGGTCCAACAGAAATATGTAATTCTATTACTTATTTACTCTTTTGTGTACTAATAACTTATTTGCTTACCAAACTAACAGCTAAACTAGGAAGATTGAAACAATTGCAATTCTCATGTGTGATCATTCAAAATATTGCTGGTATATATATTTAGCTACGGAGTTGTAATTGGTTTTCAAAAAATGTATTTTATACAAAAGAATAACTAAATCATGAGGCTGCAGAAGCTCAAACAACTAGAACAAAGGACAAAGGGCAAAGAAACTTACTGATTACATAGTGGACAACATGATATATATAAATGAGTTGCGGGTGGTTCGGATTCTCCGGGTTGGAGAGTTCCCAAAGTGGGTCCAACCGTGTATGTGGACGGGTTACAATAAACAAACCCGGATCCACCCATATATTTTGTAGCTCAATGGTTTTACAGGTGGGTCGGTTCGGATTTATGGGTTGGATCGGTTTACGGATTGATATGTTCACCCCTAGTTTTCATGGACGAAGAGAGATGGTGGTCAGCGGAGAAAACAAATAAAGAAGGCAAAAGGGTAAAAATATATAGGGATGACATGGATAGTCTCTGCTTTTAATTCGGATAACGTGGCATAACGTGGCATGGGGAAAAAGTGAAAGTGCTTTAATATTTTAAAAGAAGAAAGAAGATTTACACACCGGGAAGATTGCCAATCTCTCATATCTCTCACCTATTTCCTTTTTATTCCATTTGGAAGTGGAATCCCATATTACAATTCTTTCTTACGCTATGTCACAAATTATCAGTTTTTATTACACAATTATCCTAGTCATATATGAGTCCAACAATAAATCATGAGAGAAAAAAGTATGTCCTAAATTCATTTTATTTGTTTATAGTAACTCCTCTCATTTGTCGTTTGCCGATGAATCTCACCACTTAACGCATGATATACTATACATAACTTGAGAATTTGGAGTTATTTGACAACATTAACCGGAGAACATTTTTCACCACATCGCCAATGCTTAAAGTTGCAAAGAGGAAATGACACTTGCTATCGACACCAACATTATGTTCAATTGGGGAAGGGAAGGAAAATTTGGAGAGAGTGAAATTTTAAGGATAGTGAAATAATGAGGGGAAGAGGTGATCAATTTTAAAGGAGAAAAAGATGGGGAAATAGACTTATAAGAGACAACATTTGTGTTACCCCAAATTGGCGGGTCAACTGCTAGAATGGTTTTTCTTCCATTATAATCACTCCCATGTATTGTAGCAAAACTCATGAACAGGAGAAAAGTTCTAAATCCTTCCATTTTCACCCAGTTTTTTCTCCACCCTCTGTTTTCCCTCTTTCGTGAACAGAGGGTAATAGTAACAATGCTAATTTATTGGCAAAACAACACCACAAATTACAACAATTGGTGCGACAAGCTTCAAGGCACATAAAACTTTGGTCCCACTAACTCGGATTAATTCTATAAAAAATACTCATAGATGGTATTTCCATGCTATTTTTATGTGTTTATATACTTGAGATGAAATTTAGATTTTTTTTTTTTTGAAAAAAATTATGCCATTTACATTCAATTGTAGAAGCAGGGGCGGACCTACTTGTTGGTAAGGGGTGTCGTCCGACACCCTTTCGTTCGAAAATTTGTGAAGAATTTATATTTTTTTTTAATACGAGATTTTCGACACTGTTTTAATAATTATAGCATATACTTCTTCATTAGGCGACACCCCTCTTCAACAATCCTGGATCCGCCACCGAGAAGAAGTGAAATCGAAATCATTACCAGACAGCCATATAAGAAAAATAAAATTGAATCACGGCATAACCGTACAAGAGTAAAAGTGATAGCCACAAAACCAAAGAATATATAAGGGGTAAATTGCAAGGTTGGTCATCGGAAGTCCTAAAATATTCACATTTGGTCACTAAAAGTATTTTATTCCATTCGTGGTCACTAAAATTAATTTTTTAGTTCAAGTTTGGTCACTCTTCGTTAATATCCGTTAAGTTTAGCTGATGCGTCACTCAACTTTGATAGTTAACCGTTAATTGAGTGACATGACAATTATAAAATATTAAAATATAATTCATTACATTTTCCACCTCATTATCACATTCATTAAAAAAAACCAAGGTAAGTTATATCGACAATTAGGGTGATGGGGAATTACTGAAAGAGTTTCGGTGCCTAAGAGTTTGAGGCTGGATCAATGGGCTCCAAAGGGACAGTGGTCTTGAGTTTAGGAGAGGCAACAATAGCAGCAAGTGAAGGCGGCTGCATGGCAGAAGCTTCGTCACTGCTGCCGCAGTGCGGCAAGGGCGGTGACGATGTGTATGATAGTAGGTCCGGCCGCCGTCTCTGGCTCAAGCTAGTCTTAATGACCTCCCCTTAAAATGGGGTCCCCTAATACCAGCAAACCCAGATGGCGGCGAGCTCTGATTCGACAAGCGCGGCTCCGGCATCACTATCACCGTCGCTCTCCACAACGAGTTAGATTCTTCAGTTGAGTTTGTGGTGAAACCCATATTGGTCTCCGACTTCTTCGACTTCAATTGACCCTAAATTCGAGTTGGTTAAACTCATATTCGACTGGTGAATCTTTTTAGCGATTGACGATGGAGTCGATTATGAGAATGAGGGAAACAAAACCCCATTGAGAGGAGACAGTAACAATGAAGTCTAAAGCGCATCTGGTGGTGAGATTGTGATGTGAGATTCCGACCTCCTTGAGGATAGTCACGGGCTCCCTCGTCGCCGCTTAAGTCCCCTTTAATTGACGGCACCACCTCATCATCATCCTCCTCCTCTTCCTCCTCTGGCTCCCTGTACGCGCCCCCTTTCAATTTTATTTTATTTTTTAATCGCCAAGTCACTCATTGAACGATCAACTATCAAAGTGGACTGATACATCAGCTAACTTAATGGAGACTAACATAGAATAATCAAAATTAAACTAAACAACTAATTTTAATGACCAGGAATAGAAGAAAATATTTTTAGTGACCAAACGTGAACTTTTTAGTACTTCCAGTGAACAACATTCCAATTTACCCAATATATAAACTAGCATAGGTCACGACCCCCGGGAGAATTTTGTAGAGTAGTATGGTATATAATAATGTTTGGCTTAATTGCAAGTTTGGTCACTCGAATTGCTATAAAATTTCACGTTTGCCACTCAAATTAATTTATTCCATTTATAGTCACTCGAATTAGTTGAACAGTTCAAGTTCGGTCACTCTCCGTTAACCTCCGTTAACTTTGACTCACGTGGCGGTCAACTCTGACAGTTGACCGTTAAATGTGTGACGTGGCAAATAAAAAGAATTAAAAAATAAAAATTAAATTTTTAGAAATTAACTTCAGAACAACGTTGGCAGCGTTCAGAGCAGCAAGGCTGCCGAAAGTTCGAATCAGATTGTGCCCCGATTGCTTGCCAGCCAAATCCGACATCCCCCTTATCACGATCACAGGGTGCCCATTTGACAAACACGTCTGCAGCGACATGATCATGAGAGTTCATCAGAATGCCGACGAGCTAAGGAAGGGGAGAAGAGTATTGTTAATTATACATACCATGACAACAGCAGAGCTCTCCAAGTCCGCGGAAGAAACCTTGAAAGTTTGGAAGAGGAAGTCTCCGTAAGCTTTGTTGTCCACGAAGATGTTGGAGGTGGAGCCTCTCAGCCCGATCACCACCTTCGGCTTCTCGTCGAGGCACGTCGTTGAGTTCACGCACTGCTCTAGCTCCATCCCTGTTTCAAACATTACTCTGTTTTTTTACTTCCTACTCTGTTTTCGTTGGCGCTTGAATTAAGCCCATTTCCTTCTTTTTTTTTTAAGTACAGGGGCTGAAATGAGAGACTACTTAAATCCAGGGGTGTTTTTGTGAAACGTGTTTGTTTCTGACCTGTACAGCAACGGCGGCGAGATGAAGCCACCGGCGGGTAACGTTCATCCAGAGCACCATCGCCGGAGTATTGGGCAGCAGCGAGGAAGACGAGTAGAGCTGCTCTGGGCTGTACCCGCTGCTCGGCCAGCTGTAGAAATTTCTTTTTTTCATTTTTTATAATTATAATTTTTTTTAATAATGATGTGTAATTTCTAAAAATTTAATTATTTTTTATTTGCCACGTCACACATTTAACGGTCAACTGTCAGAGTTGACCGCCACGTCAGTCAAAGTTAACAGAGATTAACGGAGAGTGACCGAACTTGAACTGTTCAACTAATTCGAGTGACTATAAATGGAATAAATTAATTTGAGTGGCAAACGTGAAATTTTGTAGCAATTCGAGTGACCAAACTTGCAATTAAGCCAATAATGTTTACAATAGATGATTTGAAATGCATGAAATGAGTGTTTTGTAACTCAGTTATGCACATAACATTTTTGAAAATAATCTAGCTATGCATAATGTGTTCAGACATCCATGAAAAAGGTAAAGAATATGATATAAGCATTACATATAATTATCGAATAAAAAAAATAAATATAACTAATTGTCATTCATTACTTTATTAAACCATATACTTGAATATTAGAGTTTGCTCCTCATAATACATACATAATAAACCTTTAGGATGAAAGAAAATGACTCTCATAGAGTTCAGTATGTCCTTTAAGTTCTTTCCAATAGAGAGCATTCTCTTTTACCACTCTGTTGGTAATGAATTTGAAGTTGCTATGATTTGAAGTATATAGGACAAAATGCTAAGTTGTTACTAATAGTTAGTTGGGCAATGTGTTGTGTACGGACTTCCCAAATTATTCTCAGATTGCAGACATGCCTACCAACAATGTAGCAATTTTCATGCATCAAATATTTTTTCATTAATAATTAAATAAATAAAAACCTATGAAAATCATATTACATGAAGTATATGTTACTCATTAAGTTGATGAATGAGCGAGGGTATGAGTAGAATACGTTTATATTAAAAACATAGAAGTTGCAAAGCGTCTTTTGGGTTGAATTATGCATTATCGCTAACTGACTTATGTTTTTTTGCAATAGATAGTTCAAAATGTGCCTTGTAATTTTTGTTTCCACCAGTGGAAAAGAATTGTTTGAACCAAGGATTGTAAAATCGTATAAAAAAAGTTGGTGGTAGAGTATTTTATATTGAAGTCGTAATTTAACCATGGTTTCAACCGTTTCATATTGCTAAATATCGCTAGGTAATTTAGCCTATGGTGTGAAGTTTTATGGTCGAACCGCCGGTACGTACGATCTTTCAATTCAAACTTTAAATAAAAAAATCACTAAAATATTGATATTATTGAATACCACTTAAATATTAGAAATTACAATAATCGTTTAAAAAATCATCCAAATGATAATATTTTAAGATTTAAAATTTAAAATTGAAATGAAATAAAATCTGTCAAATATAATGTCATCTCCTAAAATAAATCAAAACTCAATAGAATAGGGCCAACAATACTCACTAAGCAAAACAGAATGTCAATTATTTCACACTATCTCATTTCCCCCCTCTTTTAAATGTGTCATCTCACTCTCTGTTTGCCTTCCACTTTCTTTTTCGGTTTGTTCTTCCATCTCTCTCTGAGCTTTGTATTTCACCACTCTCCCCCTTTCTCTTCCTCTTTTTTTCCATTGTATGGAATCGAGAGAAACCTAGAAACATCCCAATTACTTCTCCAATTTTGCGTTCGAAATGCTTCTTCTTCATTCACAATCGATAGTGTGAATCAGAGCACCTGAAACCTGGCGAACATATGACCGATTATTCTTCGATGGAGCAGCGTAGTTTGATACCATGTGAATAAACTAATTACTAAAAGCGATAAATACAAAACTCGTTAAACCAATCGAGTGACTGTATAGTTAGTTCATCGTGTAAACAATTTTAGTTATCTAAAGAATCAAAATGCATAATCAGGTTAATCTTAACTTATTTACATGTATTCGCAGATGAGGGCTTGGATTCAAGGGATTCGCAGTCTTCTCCAATTGTATTCGGGATTAGCAATCTTCTTTACACCAAGATCAACACAACAAAAGTGCGGATTGGGTCGCTAATGAAGCTGCTAATGGATCTCTCCCACCGGATTGGATCCAAGTATTGGATATTGTTAATCTGTTGTTGAAATGTGGCAATGCTTGTACGACTATCGTTGATATGAATGGAAATCATCTATTTGTAAAAAAAAAACTTTATTTATATGTATTTGTCGTACAAATTCATTACACATAAAAATGGTTTGAACCGACATATTAAACTAAATCTCATCTTATGATTATTGGATCCAATCATGTCAAATTAGCAAGAGGCCTAAGTTATTGGTCAACTGGGCTGAAAATTAATACTAATTCAAGATTATATATCGCTTCTAAATGTTCAATACTCCAATTCAATATGCAATATTTGAACAAATCTCAATCTCTTCCTCACTTTACTTGCTTCTAAAGTTATTGTTGACGTTGTTTGTTATTAGTTATTACTGCAAGATGTAAAAATGACTTTTCAACTATGAATTTAATCAAGAATTATTTTATAAATGAGTATTTAGTTGTATACATTGAAAAAGGTTTGAGTCTCAAAATAAACATTGAATGAATTTTTTAAACCTTTTATAATATGAGTTGTCACGCGGTGATGTGAAAAACAACTCATTAATTAAAATTTTATATATTATTTTAAGAATATTTTGTTTTATTTTTATCAAATAGCCCATTTTTCCATAAAACATGAGTTCACCAATATAGACTGTGTGGAGCTCGCACTTGTGTGCGAGCCCTTGACGTTTAAGTCTGGTACGACTCATGAAACATTTATGCTTGTACAGGACTGATCCATATATATTGTACTTATGGTATGCGCTAACTGTGTCGTGCTAGCTCGACCATGTACCTAGGTATAGTTATATCTTATACGCATTCTAATAATAAGTTTTTACCTATTCACAACACCAAGATAAAAAAAACAATCATAAATGCACCCAGTATTCGATTTTGACTACCTAATGAAATACTACATTCGAAACTACCACTGATGTCACAAATAATAAGTATACCTCTAAATCGTAGATAAAATATTTCAAACATCACAAATATTAAGATTAAATTAATTATTATAAAGAGTAAAATATACTTCTGCATTTTATCTAAACTAAAGTGTGCATACAATTTAATAATAATGTTTGAATAAATGTTACTTGAGTTCCGATTTCATAACTAATATCGTTCTATAAAATATAAATATAGAAAAATCATCACCAACCATATTTCTAGAGTGTAATAAATACAATGTAGCCAAGGTTCAAGCTCCAATAATAACATTTTTAATATGCAAAGTTGATTTGGGTGAATTGACAAAAAAAAAATCTTCCTATAATCATTTTCAGCCACAAAATTTGGAATAAGACAATTTCAACTCATTTTTGCATTTGTATATTTTGTGTATATATATGAATTTGGCCGAGGTCCGGGACCAAGCAAGGACAGTAGTAGAACTAGTGAGCTAACCACGTCCAAGGCCTTCTTCAACCGTCGCAACTTCCGTTACAAAATCCGACCGTTACAGAACCCTTCAAAAATTTAAAAAATCCAACGCCGAACCATAACCAAATTATTGTAAAAAAAAAACCATAACCAAACCAACCAACAAGACCTCTGAAAATCAGAGCACTCCCAACCCGCACCCCACTACCCACTCTGTTTCAGTGCGTGATGAACAAAGACGATCACCACCATCAGCATCCGCCGCCGTCCATGGAGGAAGAGGAGCAGATGCAAGAGCTCCGGCTCAAAGCCTCGGAGCTCCTCCTCCGAGAAGAGTGGCACGATTCCGTACAAGTCTATACCCAATTCATCACCCTCTGTCGATCTCATATCGAGAAACACCCGCCGCCGCTGTGCAACTCTCCTCATCTCACCAAGATCCAGAGATCCCTCTGTCTCGGCCTCTCAAATCGAGCGGAGGCCCACTTCCGGCTGAGAGATCCCGACAAAGCGCTCAGAGATTGCAACCAAGCGCTGGAAATCGAACCCACCCATTACAAGTCTCTGCTCGGCAAAGGCAGGATCTTATTCGCCTTAAACAGGTACTCCGCCGCTTTGCTCTGCTTCAAATCAGCTCTTCTGGAAGACCCACAATCCAACGAAACCCTAAACGGATACATTGAGAAATGTAAAAAGCTCGAGTCTTTATCGAGGACTGGCGCTTTCGATCTCACCGATTGGGTTCTCAACGGGTTCCGGGGCAAGACGCCAGAGCTTGCAGAGTACGTGGGAGCGGTGAAGATCAAAAGATCCGAGGAGCTCAGTGGGAGAGGCCTTTTCGCTACCAAGAACATGGATGCAGGGACATTGGTGTTGGTCACTAGAGCAATCGCCACAGAGAGATGCATATTATCCAATGAAGAAGAAGATTCCGCGGAGAACGCCCAATTAGTAATGTGGAAGAGTTTCATCGACCAAGTCTCCGACTCCGCCGCAAAGTGCACCTGGATTCGCCGGCTAATTAGTACATTATCCCCAGGAGATGACGAAGCCAGCCTTGAGATCCCTGAAACAGAGCTCTTCAAGAGGGAGCTTACAGAGGAATGCGGCGAATCAGAACCGGACCTGAGCTCCGACGACCTTCTCAACATACTGGACGTTAACTCCCTGGTGGAAGACTCGGTGTCCGCCAAGGTTTTGGGGAAGAACAGCGATTACTATGGTGTTGGTTTGTGGGTCCTAGCTTCATTCATCAACCATTCATGCATCCCAAACTCACGCAGGCTGCACGTTGGCGACTATGTAATGGTTCATCTCTCCAAGGATGTGAAAGCAGGAGAAGAGCTCACGTTCAGTTATTTTGACGTGCTTCTGCCGTTAGAGAAGAGGAAGGAGATGTCTCAGACATGGGGGTTCAGTTGCCACTGCAGGAGATGCAGGTTTGAAGAAGGGTTTTGGGCAGATAAGCAAGAGCTGAAGGAGATTGAGATGATGGGGCTCGGAAAGGGAAAAGGAATGGTAGATTTCGGGGGAGTGATCTTCAGGATAGAGGAAGCAATGAAGAGATGGAACGTGAGAGGGAGAGAGAAGGGCTATTTGAGAGCGTCGTTTTGGGGTGTTTATGAAGACGGTTATGCGTCAGTGAAGAGGTGGGGGAGACGAATCCCGGCAAGTGATGTGGTGGTGGAGAGTGTTGCAGAAGCTGTGGGAAGTGATGAGAGGCTGTTGAAGGTTTTGATGCGAGATATGACGAACAAGAGTGGAGTTTTGGAGATTGAGAGAGCCATGAAGCTCGGGAAGGGGGTGTATGGGAAAGTTGTGAAGAAAAAATCACTTAGATCACTGATTGGTGTTGAAATTCAAGAACAGAAGGTATATTAAAACATTAGTCCTCTGAAAGATAACCCCTTTTTTTTTTATTTCCTTATTGCTATTGGACTGATAGCTTTCTTTCAATTCATCATCAAATGTAATGCTGGCAAAACAACAGTTGCTGTATCAAATATCAATCAATCTCACGTCTGTATTGCATCTATCTAATAAACACGCTCGTCAAAAAAGGTTTACTGTGCTCCAGAAAGCACTTCCATATCTTGTACTTCCATATCTCGTCTCTAAGACAGGTTCATCTTCACCAGCTTGGGATAAAGGATCCTGTCATCCCTCCCGGTGTTGCTCTCCAGCAATGCATTTTGAACAAGTTCCTGAACCAGTAAATAGCAACATTAACATTAGCCATTATTATCAAATGAGAGAGATCTCAAAAGCAACAAATGAAACAGATAACATGAAAGAACGTACCTTCACTTCTCGGTGAGAAAGGAACTTCCCCAGAGTATGGATGATTACCCTCATGTCTTCTACCTGAAGGAATGAATGAACAATTTTTTCAATTCCACGCTAAGCCACAGGTTACTCTCAAAGCAAAAAGGACTCTGCGCTGATACTTACCCTAACAAACCCAGCCCTATTCCGATCAAAAAACCTGAAAGCCTGTTTCGAAGACAAACAAGCAAACACCCATCAACTTCGAATCGCTGATGAACAAAAACAAAGGGTGTGCGGAAAAAGAGAAACTTTAAAAATAGTTTTACCTGCAGCAGCTCCTTATCAACAATCACTGGCTCCTTCGGAGCAGAAGAATCTTTCCCTTTATTCCCCTTCTGCATTATTTCTGCACCTCCTTCCTCAGTCGTAGAATACAACTCAGACTTGTCTTTGGCATCCATAATTTTCTTCGTGTCACCAACGCTACCACCAGTTTCATTGACAGCCAACACTCCATGAGCAGCACCATCAGCAGTAGTAGTTTTTGATTCCTCTTTGTTGTTCTGTTGAATTCACCGAAAAGAATTAGTAATCTCTATATATGTAAATACGCAGTCTGGAAGTCATTCAAATCCAGAGGTTATATTGCTTTAGCTTCAAAAAAGTTACTTAAATAGAAGTGAACTAAACAAAATCACTTCGATAGGTAAACAAATTATATACTCATTATCGTAACTCTTTTATTACGCAAATACATGGATATCTCATCAACTCAACTCCGTAACCTTGCAAGCATATACTGCTTTACTTTTTCACTCGCAAAATCCAATGTCAGTTGAAGCTGCAACTAGAGATTCATTCCAATTCTAGCAGCAACTCTAATTACCACAGAAGGAGTAATCTTACCTCAGTAATCATATTCGGCTCAGGATCCTCCGTTTCTTCATCATCGTCTTCAGGTAGTTCAGGATCTTCTTCAGGATCTTCTTCATATTCATCTGTGTCATCTTGAGGCTTTACCTCATTTTTCGGAGCAGAAGCATCCTCCTCTTTATCTTTTTGTTGATCAGGTTGATTTGTTGCATTCAACCTTTCAGCATCAGATTCATTCTTCAAAGTAGCCTCACTGGGTTTAAGGCGCTTTGTCGAGGATTTTCCATCTTTGTCCTTTGCATCATTTTCCTCAATCCGCCTTTTCCGTTCATACCTTTTCGCAACAAATTTTTTGCGTAGTTTCTACGGAAAGAAGAGAAATAATGCAAATAAGACTATACAATTATGTCTGAGCATCTTAGACAGAAGAGTGTTTGTTAAAATACCTGAAGGAATGCTAATAGACGGCAACCCATTTGATACTGAAGCATTTCATGTAGGGACTCCGCAAATAAAGAAAGCTGTGTAATAATTTTAGCCCATGGTTAGACCAATGAAAGCAACTAAACCAAACGAATTGAATTGAATTGAATAGATAGAGCAATGAAACAACCTCCACTGTTGATTCATCGGTGTCCTTGTCCGTATAATCCAAAAGCGAGTCAAAAGAAAGTGACAATGAGTACAACTGCAAAACAGAGACCCAGAAACCTCACAATTAGATAGAGGCAAAAAAAGGAGCAACTTCCTCCTATTTTTACATTTTAGATCTTCTCCATATATTTTACAACATACCATAGTTTGTTTGTCGCATTTTGTTTGCAAAATGAATCCAGGGTGTTTAGGAGGGTCTTCACACTTTCTCTTCTCTTTCACTTCTTTAGGAGATTTACTCCTTGTCTCACTTTTCCCATCTTTGTCATTTGTTTTCTCCCCATCCACTGATCTCCCTTTTTTGGCAGCAGTATGAATATCCTTCTCACCACCCTTCTGCTTGTCAGCCTTACCATCAGCTCTATTGCCTATTCCATTTTTCCCTTCGAGTTTCTTTTCGTCCTTGTCTTCCTTTATTGCCTTGCTATCTGTTTTATTGGTTGGCTTTGGCAAACTTGCTTTATTCTCTGGTGATTTCAACGATCGAGTAGGAGTTGCCATCTCCTTTAACTCTTTAACCTCGTCATTCTCAATCTCTGCTGATACTTGATTCCCTGCATTTTCTACTTCCTTAACTACTTGAGCTACCGTCTTCTCTTCCACTGAAGTAGTCCCAACAGTTCCCTCAGTAGCTTCCTTGTTGGTGAGCTTCCTCTTAAGCACTCTCTTGATAATTTTCTTCTTCACAGCTGTTTTGACACTAACAGGTGATCCTGTCCCCACGTTGGGATCCAGCGTATCCTTGGGTTTACCCTGAATAGACTGAGGTATCACCACCTCACCCTTCCCTTCAGGCTGCGGGCCCTTATCTTCACTTTCAGCAGGTTTCTCTCCAACATCCGTCCCACTTGGCATATCGCCTGTTGCGGCATTGGCAGTATCAACCGACATAGCAACTGCTTTCCTCTTAACAATCCTTTTAATTATTTTCTTCTTTCCTGGCCTTACACCAGCAGCTGTCTTAGTACTTGAAGATTCAACCTTGGTTTCCTTCTCAGTATCATCCTTCGCTTTATTCCCAACATCATTTCCAAATTCTTTCCCAGATATATCATAGTCGGCATCCTTCTCAGCAACCATTTTGTCTTTGGAATCATTTCCGTCTTTCTCCCTTTTGTTGGCACTAGAAGCAGCAGCAGATGTCTTCACCGCATCCGGTTTGGTAACTTTCTTAGTATCTTTGGCAGAGTCCTGTCCCTTGTCTGGATAGTAGGATCAAGAAGTATAAAATCATTTTTGAAACGAAACAACCAGTGGGAACCCAGTGCAAAATTTTTAAAACATAACTGAAGTACCTTTTGAGCCTTCCTTCTTTTCTCCAGTTCTCTGCAACCAAAGATAATATATAAATAAACTCAACAGATTCCGTGAGTTGCCAATAGGATAGGAAGCCAATGCCGAAGAACAATACATACCTCCTTTCTCAAAGAAAGCTCACGCTCCCTCTCGGCAACAGCTTTCTTGTGAGCAAGCCATTGATTCCGCCATGTATCAATTGAAGGAAGACATTCGGACAAGTCTGGAACAAATAGAACAGTGACCTCTTTGTGGCTAAAAGTGCCATCCTTTCCAAATCTGTCATAGTGTATCTGGAAATGCAAAATGCAGACCCACACAATTAGCTTCAAAAGTGGGAATGACATCACAAAACCAACATAAAACCTAATACCTCAATGTATGATTAACAACTACAGGATGTCTTATTTTCTTAGGTGTGTGGATATTCAGCAGAATTTGTTCTAAGCGCAAGGACTTGCAATTATCAGAGTGCACTATTACCTCGAGAAAACGATTCCAGTGACGACAGTTCCGCAGATCAAGTTGAGTTATATCCTTCGCATATCTATGATGTTAAAAGTAACCAAGTTTCAGTGACCAAAAAATAAATGTTTAATAACCAACTAACTTAACAGAAAGTAAGCAATACCTAAGTGCTGTTTGAATTAAAGGAGAATCATCAACTGCTGGGTCACCACCATCAACAGGATCCCAGGGACCACCAATTGCCATGAAAGCACGATCCTTTTTCAGCAATGCAAACCTAAGGATGTTACAAATATGGGCTGGACGATCATCAGAAAACTTCGCAGATGACAGCTCCTCGAAAGCACTCTTGCTTACTCCACTCATTAAAATTAGCTGAAGAGAAGACATAACCATCTTATAAGCAATAATATGTAGATGCATGAACTGGAAAGTTAAATACTCGATTTGCCAAGCTTGGAAGAAAGAGCAAGAATCGAAGTCAATTATGAAGAATCACCCGATATTGTTTTGTAGTGTTTATCAACTGACAGAAACGGACTACACCTGTACTTGGCAATATATTACCCATATGAATTTAAATCCCTGGTTATATTTACCTATTGTGTGTTTTCTGACACAACAACCCCCCAACTCACATGCATCAGAAACAAGTATGTATCAATAGGACTTCTGAGGCATGGATTGAAGATTGATAAAGTTGAATTATCTCCTTCAATACGAACAAGCTCTGACTGCATAAAATTTGCTCTGAACGTACAGCAAATATTATCACAGCCAGGAAATACGAAATAATGGAAACTAGGAACCAAGAATAACTCCCATAGAGGGTTGTAGAAGCAGAGAACAGGAACTAATAAATATATTGGTACAAGGTTGCAAATCAAGGACCACAATATAACCAATCAACACTATGTTGGCCTAGAGGAGAATTTTGGAAGCAAAATTTAATTGCGCGTTTTTAAGAACAACAAATTAGTATGAGTGGAAAAAAGAAACAAATATGATGATCAAACCTTCGCATTCCACACTCTGCAACCATTCTCCGATTTAACAGGATGATGTCCCAGAAGCTTGCTGGAGACATCCTTCGATTCTAAAACCTTTTCATCTTCAACAAAATCATGCTCAAAACTGCACCATTTTTTTAGATGTCATGCTCACAATAATTGTATAGTGCTAAGAACTAGAACTACGCGGAAATTTAACCCAATACCTCACAGGAGTATGTAATGAAAGTTTAAGGTTCTCCTTTGGCCAGTTAACAACAACCTGAATTGACATTATTATGGTGACAAGGAAAACATTTAACAGTATCATCATCTGAAAAGTGAGATCATAATGGAAAATTTTCAAAAGAAGAAATAAAATGAGTTCACCTTGGAAAGCTCTGGTGACACAAAGAGTCTGGGATACCTCTTATCCAATGATGAATAGTCTCTATCTATGTCTACCAAACAGGAACCATGTACCTGCAAATAGAAAGAATTAAAACATTAAAAAGGGCAGACCCAATAAATTTATGATAGCCAAGAGATTAAAAAATGTGATTGAGTAGAGCAGCTTCAGATTCCTCTCATTTTCTAACACAAAGTCGGTAGCTCCAACGAGGTTGCAGAGTCAGCATAAAGCTCTTCATGTTGACGCAGAATTCATCACACAAAAATGACAAATTTCAAGTTGTATATGAAGTCACGAATTTTCAAGGAGACAAATAATGCACTTTACTCTGGAATAGAAGGATTGAAGCCCAGAGACGTTGAGGTACAAATTAGGGATATGAAGTTGAGAAAAATCCAAGAACAGATATGTTCTGGAATAGACAGAGTGATCAACAGAAATTCAAAAGGAAGCAGTCCGGATGGAGGCCCATGGAAAATGCAATTTGGGATTAAACAACGAACGAGGGACTGCTAAGAGTGATCAGAAATGAGGACAGCTGGCATGAGAACTAAACAGCAAGATAAAGAGATCAACCAATAGGTAAGAAGTTTAAAAGAAAGCTTGCGGAAGAAAAGATTCAGGTGAAATTTGAAGAGCACCAATTCAAGGGGCAGTTGATCAGGAGACCAGAAAGAGCTTGTGCATCCAGATACCGGGAAAAGAAGACCAGCGAGATTAAGGGTAGGAAGGAATCAAGACCAGATTGTCAAAGAGGAAGATTCATTGCATGACTATACTCTTTATCACTTGCTGCTGTTTACCTTGCAAACATATTCCCTCCTTTTATCTTTAACAGGTGAAGAATGACGCCTTCAGCATAACAGAAGAGCAAGTTAGTTTAAGAATGCTTCAAGACACGATCAGCTACATATTCAACAGTAGGATGCAAATTGGGTCGTCAAGATCCACCACCTATGTGAAGCTTCTTGGCTCATGGAATCACGTCGCGAAGATCGTCCCGCCTCTCTTGTCAAAGAGGACCCACGAGGATCCCTCAATGGTCTTGGGGGAGTTCGTTCGCGTCTAATCTCAACTACGCGCTTCCGCTCCCTTTCCTTCTCCCGTCGCTCCACCATCCGCTCCCTATCACGCCTCCGTTCTCTTTCATGTTCACGCTCCCTTTCCCTCTCTCTTTCCCTCTCTCGTTCCTTCTCCCTTTCTTTTTCCCTCTCGCGCAAGAACTCTCGACGGCATTCCTCCTCACGCAGCTCAAACTCCCGAAGATAACCGGCTCTTTCATCCCTTCGATCATCGAGCCTTGGATGAAGAGGACGATACTCTGGCTCTAGTGATGCTCCATGCAGCGGCCCTTTTCCTGAACCATAATCTCTACCAGGAGGGAGGCTAACACCATAGCCTGGGTTCGATAAACTTTGAGAATATAGAAGATCATCGACGCTTCTTCGTGGAGCTGCCCCTAGTATGGATGAAGCATGTTGTTGTCCGTTATAAGAAGCATTATTAAGAATTGAGGAGCCTCGAGGATCAGCATCCCCTCTTCCTCCTCCATAAGACACAACAAGATCCTGTTTCAGATGACGGCTAGCAGCAGCACCTCTTGCTGCAAGGTAATCGATTTGTCTGCCATGGTGCCAACAGTGCAATTTGCAAGCATACAGCAGTTAGCATAGCTGTGCCCGGACCATGACCACAAGTAACAGTCTACTTGTATTAAAAACGCTACAAATTACCCTTTTTGGTCTTAATTAAGGAATACAAGAACCAAATGACAAACATATTAGCCCTAAAACAGGTAGTAGGCTATGTATGAACATGTAAAAATTCTGTGAATAATTTAAACTACCTGGCACCTCCATCAAGCGACGAAGAATGCATTGACTGTGACTTTAACAGTTGTCCTTGTCGGAGAATCGACGACTGATCCCCACGTTCATATCTCTCAGTCTGGTAAAATAGAGCAGCAGAAAACGCCATTATCTTAGGAAAAGGCAGAGAGTGCTTAGAAAATATTTGGTGCACAAATAAACACCAACACTTCTTGCCCCACAGCAACTGAATGAACATAAATGATTAAAGTCAAAGGTAAAAAGCAAAAGCAATGAGGTGCAAACACAAACCTGATGACCAAAGCCAACATTGTCTACATATCTGGATGCTGGATCAGTTTGCAAATCCCTACCAATATATGAACTATGTCGTTCACCATAATGTCTTCGGTCTATGCCAGTGTAATCACTAAGCTTGTCTGCATATAATTGCTCAGTTTTGTGACTGTATGCATGGCTTGACAAGGGAACATACTCACCAGCTACAAATTTAGGTGAATAGCCACTACGACCTTCCAAAGCGGATGGCCCACTCCCCTTGCTACTTACCGAGGTCACCTGCTTAAGAAACACTGAAGCTTAATGCACATTTTCCAAGCAAATAAGTGAATGTAGGAGAACTAAGAAAACATTGCAAATTTTGTGAGACTCTCACCGTGTAGGAAAAGACAAAAAAAACTGAACCAAGGTTCAAAAGGGTAAATTGGGTTGAGAAATCAAGTTCCACCAAGATTCTGGGACTGTTCAGCCATAATCATGAAATCTAAACTATTAATCTTGTCATCGATACTGATAATAGTTGGGTTCTCCCTGCTTAAAAGTTTATGCTTTGAATGCAAAATGATTTTACAGTGAGTAGAACAACCACGCAGAACTCGAGGAACAAGATCAATGAGAGAGTACAAAATGAAACTTGATGACAATGTTTTCTCTTACTTCCAAGAGAGATCCTACTATGAAGGGACAAAAAGGGAAATCAACATTGCAAAGAAACCTAACTCACCGGTTGGGTAGTGCTCACACCAGCTGAACCGTAGACACCCGCATATTGCCCCCCGTACCCTGAAACTGAGCTTTTGTACCCACCGAGATTTGCTTCTTGAGAGCCACTCAGATGTCTAGAAGCCAAGGAATGCTGAGAAGTTGAATCAGCTCCTCCAACAGAACTACCAGTGTAGTTGTTTCCTAACTGCAAACCAATCAACAGACACAAAAACGGTTACTTTCAATCGTAGTTCACTCCAAATAACATTATATTAACCAAAACAATAGAAATAGCGAACTGACTTCAATTGGAAATCGCACATAAACAAGGAATCCTCAATAAGCACTTTAGCTATCGTGAATTATGCACAAAAGCACCAACAACGTGCCATATACATCAAAATCCATCGGTTGAAGAAAGAAAGAAAAAAAAAAATGCATGCCTAAGAGGTTAGAATAGAATCAAACACTGATCCCATTACAGGATTAACATGGCAGACCAAGAGAGAAGACATGAAAACAAATGAAACCATATCGAATACAAACAAAAGGAATCCTAAGCTCAAGTTTTAAAACAAAAGACACTAAATTTACGTTCACAAACAAGTCGATTAATTAAAAGAAGCTTACACTTTGTGCGTAGCTCGACTGTCCGCCATAAGCTTGCTGCCCATACCCACTGCCTCTTGAATACATGCCTCGGCTATCAACCCGAAGCCAATTGAACCTGCAATTGAATAAGCCCGTTGATCAAATTCTTCGCCCCGCCAAAAAAAATTCAGGATAGAAAGACAAAAAACTTTCTTACTCTGATTTTGAATCGAGCTAATTTTTCCCCGAAACAGGAACACGAAGAAGACAATACAATCAGAAGTGCAGAAGGATCAGAGGAAGCGGATAAAGACCATCGGTGAGAGAAACCCTAACACACGAAAAGGAAGAGATGAAAGGAGAAAGAGCCTATGTCAAGTAGGCTGAGGTCTTTTTGGTTTTTCATCTATGATACTAGCTTATAACCGGCCCTTTGGCCGGAATGCTTATATTTGATTATTTGTATTTTTATGTTACTTTTAAGTCTATTAATCAGTTTAATCTTATTGATAATCATTCGATCGAAGATGATACATAAAGAAATAATATATAGGTCGAACATTCGGAGAAATATCATAATCATTTAATAATATAAAATATAAAAATGTATCATTGACCCCATTTTCATAATGCTAATTAAGTCCCTGTTAAAATGCTATTGGTTAGTTTTCTTTGATAGTCAAGAAATATAGAGTATAAAAGCTCACTGAAATTCTCACACAACCCATAGATAGTTTGAAACTAAATCTTAAACCTCACAATCATATATAAAGGGTTCAATGCTCTCCTGTTAGAAACAATATGTCACTAATCAAAAAGAAATGAAGAGTTGTTGATTCAAGTCATCTATATACTAAAAACTCAGCTAAGAGGGGACCATCACAACTTGAGAGCAAACGAAAAAATCAGGGTTATCTCCAATATACGAATAGACTCGATCAAAGTAATAAGGCGCAAAATTAGACACTCCTTATCGATTAGTTCCAGTAGGTTGAATAAAGAAGCGACCTATTTCAAACAATCAATCAATGATTCCTCGTTTTAAGATAGAAATAAGTTATGACAGTTGCAAAAACCATAAACCTAAAGATCCAATAGCCACCACTCTCCGTTGTACAACCGAATTTCTATCTCAAGAGGCATATATTCAACCAAAAATTCAATTTCTAATCTTCCGTCTACAACTTCAGTTATTGATGAACTCCATTCTATTCGCCGTGAATTGATATCGGAGTTGAAATCTTCTACTCGCCCAGCTTAAAATCCCCAACAATAAAACCGTAGTGCCAAGAGATACCTAAAGATTGATTTTCAATGACAGTCATGTACTGGGAAGTGAAAGGCGCAAACTATTGCACGATGGATGAAATTTCGGAGGAAGTTAGAAAGAGAAAAGAACAAAGATAAAAAAAACACAAAATTTAAATTGAAAAATGCAAGGATACAACAGTAGTTACATAATTAGTTTCTTCCATGTTGGCCAATTACCCATTTACCTTTAGCAAAAATTAAGGAGAGAGCGAGAATTTAAAATTGAGAAAATTACATAAAACTCTACTATGAAAATAGAAGTATAAAACTCGATAAAAATACATACGATAGACTTACTGAGCTTGCTAATTATGATGAAAAAATCCTCTGATTTTCAGAGATTAACTTTGTCTATTTTTTGTATAAAAATGGATGCATTAAATTTGTTTAGTGTAATTGGTTGTGATTGTTATCTTTGTTTGAAGAGACCCGGGTTCAAATCTTGATATTACTATTTTTATATGAAATAAATAATAAATGTGTAAAGACAAAAATGACCTTCCTACTTTCACTCTCGTTGCATGAAATTTGAAATGGAGAAAAATACGCAAAACTCTACCATATATTAATGGAAAATAATAAATGTGTAAAGACAAAAATGACCTTCCTACTTTCACTCTCGTTGCATGAAATTTGAAATGGAGAAAAATACGCAAAACTCTACCATATATTAATGGAGGATTGGCGATTTCCATTCCTGGATTCTGTTAGCAGCTTGGAAGTTGGAATGGAGGTCAGCTACGTTCCCGATCCCGGGTTCACATAGCCGGGAGAATATTTTGTTATTGGGCTTCCAGGCCACCAGCCCGCCACCAGATTGAGAAGAATATAAAGCTCACTCGAACTGGTAACCGGATTAGGCCCACCGGTGTGTCATGACTGATTCCAAGCCCGCCCCGAAAAGAATCTATCTAATCTAAATCTAAAGAATATATTATAGAGGGGAATACAATATGTTAATACAATATATTAGCTACAGCTAATATGAAGCGGAGAATTATAGCCACCACTATGAAAATTTAAATTATTATCCATAACTATTGTTGCAGGTCAAGATATGGCTAATTGTCTGTTACTGTTATTGAATTTTTAACAGAGAAGGCCACATCATCGGCCACGACAACAGTCACGTCGGACTGCTTTTAATTTATAACTTTAAAATATAAAAGTTTAGTTAGTATTACTATCGGAATTGTTAACAGATAGTTAACGTTTGGCTAATAATTTGAATTTCCATAGTTGTGGCTATAATTCCCCGCTTCTTAATAGTTGTGGCTAATATATTGTATTTACCCTTTCTCAAAAAACCCCTTCTCTATTTCAAATTCCCTAACATATTGTGTGCCCATGTGAGCACTGGGTTTTTTCCCTTTCTCGGCTTGAGTTCAAGTCCTTAAGCCTTGTTTCTTAAGGAGAATCTTAAAGTCTTCCTATTGGCTGATAGTAGTTAATGGGGTTAGTAGTTAATAGGTAGTTAAGGGTAAATGGGTTTATGCAAATATAATTAATATAATTAATTAATGATTATCTTTCTCTCTCCTCCCATGATTTTCTACATAACACTCTCTCTACATTATAATTAAAAAGAAATATGAAATTAATTTTATTTGATATTATTTAATATTTAATAAAATCCGAATTTAATTTTCTTTTTCTAAAATGGAAATTTGAAATTTAAAATATATGCCTTTCTCACATCTTGGCAACTTCCGATTAGTGTTAACATTTTGTAATGACATTATCAATATTTATAAATTGAATCATCATTAGGGCTTTTCGTTGCATGGGTTTAGGAATTTTCGTTGTTAGGTATTCGTTTGTGTTATTATTAATATTGTTCGACATGTTTTTAATAATTTTATATGACATTATTAACTTTTTATGTTTTGTTTTGTTTGTTCAATTTGTTGTTACATTAATACTATTACATCGTATTATCAATTTGGTTCGCAATGATTTATAATCATTTGAAGTGCTATTATCAATGTTTTTTTCCAAGCACAATACAACCATTAGCAAAAATTTATTCCATTTGTAACATTGCTTATGTTTAGTGATTTGAATTATTAATATTTTTTCGTTTATGTTTGTAACTTTGTCAAATGCCATTATCAAGAAGAATACTTGTTAGGTATTCATTTGTTTATGACATTAGCAAACGTGAATTTACGTTTAATGATATAACTATGGTTATTAATCTTTCAGTCTAAGTTAGTAACGTAGTTGGTGTCATTATTAATAGGTGTGTATAAGCATTATCAATGTTTGAAAAAATAAGATATTAATAATATCTAATAAGGTACTTAACAATCATTATCAAAGTTTTTGGATGCATTATCCATTAAACACATGTTACTTATTAATGCGTTTTTAGTGCTATTTGACATTAAACATTGTATCTGAATATTATTAAATATTTTTTATAACAAAAATCTATTTCCTTATCAGTGACTTGATCCTTCGTTATTAATGATTTTTAATATCTTTATTAAAAGCTTGATGTCATTTATAATTTTGAAGTCGGACATTTTTACATTGATGTTTTGTGTTTATTTTCAACGAAATACTTTTAGTTATCAATGATTTATTGTATTGTTATTAAAAGTTTGGTGTTGAGGCGTGAATGTTGGTTTGCTTAAACTAATATTTTTCTTGACAATGTTTGTTTGACTGAATCACACCGGTGCACTATGTCAAAGTACCCAAGATGTTGAAAATAAATATTTTGCTTTATGATCATTGAGAATGATAATATAAAGTAATATTAATTGATCATAAAATGTTAATAATGTCATTAGAAATCATTGGAAGAGGCCATGACTAGATAGTTATAAACATGATGTGAAAATGTGAATCATTAGTACTAAAGATGTTGTAAATCGATGATATTGTTATTCAACTGTTAATGACCATGTTACATAACTTTAATGATTCATTCATAGGCGTTGATGACGAAACTATAAAACGGTAACAATTTATCCAAAATTGTTAATAATGTAATTGTAAGAAATTGATAAGTATATTGAAGTCGTTAATAATGATGAGGTATAATAATAACGATTCATTTCATAAATGCTGATAATGTCATTGTAAAATGTTAATACTGCATTGCAAGTTGCCACTAAGTGAGAGAGAGCATATATTTTTAATTTTCGATTTTCATTTTAAAGAATAAAAAATATTAAGTTTGAATTTATTAAATAATATTATTTAATTAAGTTAATTTCAAATTTCCTTTTAATTGTAGTGGAGAGAGAGGGTTATGGAGAAGATCAAGGGGGGAGAGAAAGAGAATCATTAATGAGTAATATTAATTATAATTTCATAATATCTTATTCATTCCAACTAACTATTAACTATAAACCCCTCATTAACTACCTAATCTAGTATTCTCTAGTTCGCCTTTAATTATCCTTTTTACCGGAATTTTCTCTGAAAAATGCTTTCTGCGAATGCGACTGTCTCTCCGCCGCCGGTGGCGAGTCCAGGGCTCCTTGGACGACCGCCGGATAATCCTACTCCCGTCACACCGGGGAAAGATCCAACAAAGAGCACTCCTTCAGCTTAACCACTGAACTTCAAGGCGGCGCTGGCCGGCATCAAACCTGAATCTTCAAGATCGAAATCCCAATGGATGTTTGTGGGTGCCAACGATATAGAAGCTGGCTCCTTTCAAGGTGAGCCGGAGCTAAGGCTTTCGGCAAATTTCAAGGAAAGGCTCTGCCAGCCTTGGAAGAAAACACTGGTTGTCCGATTGCTAGGTCGCTCGGTGGCCTACTCATACTTGTGCTCCCAGCTACGCTGGATGTGGAAACCGATTGGATCGCTTGTTGTCATGGATCTAAACAACGATACTTTTTGGCCACCTTCGGTAACGATCAAGATTACTTGAGAGCGCTCACGGGAGGACCTTGGGTTATCCTGGATCACTATCTTGTGGTTCATCAATGGTCGCCGACGTTCCACACTTCTGATAAGCCGTACCGGTCGGTAGTGGCTTGGGTTCAGTTTCCGGAATTGCCAGTGTATTTTTATCATCGGGAAGTGCTTTTTGCTATTGGCAATCTTGTCGGCAGATTGGTGAAGCTAGACTATCACACGGAGAATGTGGAGAGGGGTAAGTTTGCCCGAATTGCCATCAAACTGGACATGAGCAAACCTCTCCCGACTCGTATCAGGCTTGACGGAGCATGGCAACAGGTGCTTTATGAGAATCTCCCAACGATCTGCTATTCCTGTGGATGAATAGGTCACACGGAGGATGCTTGCCCTCTGAAACAACCTCCTCCTTTGGCCATAACGGCGACAATAGAGCCGAAACAAAGTTTGTCACCGGCACCAAGATCGTGGGAAGCTCCCGCCGGTTACGGACCTTGGATGCAAGTGGTCAGGAAGTCAAAACGCCAAACCAGGAAACCAACGCCAAATCAGGCACAATATCAGGGAAATAATTCGAGAAAGGTGCAAGGAGAGGTTGCTGTGTCGGGGGCCACTAAAGGAAAGGGAAAGATTGATCTAGGGAAGGCAAATCCGGATTCAAAAGGAAAACAGGAGCAAAAGAAGGGGTCGGGTCTGAGTAAACTGGCAAATATCAAAGGAAAAGGGGAAGAGGAGTCAAAATCCTCCAACGGTAACAACACAGCTGGACAGGCACAAGAATGGCGCAAAGTTGGGCCTAAAAGCAGTTCACTAGCGTCAACCAGTGGGAATAATGAGCCCAAAGTTTCAAACATAAAGCCCACAGCGCTGGTTTCTCCACAACTTGTAGCCCAATCCTTACCGGTGGTTGTCGATCTGAACAATACTAAAATCCAGATCCTTCCCGTCCCTGACCTAATACTACAACAGAAGGAGAACCAGAATCCCAACTTGGATGGTTCAACATCTAGGAAGCATGGTCACAAACAGGCGTGCAGCCTAAAGGAGTTAATCTCAAAGCCACAAAAAGGCCTCTCCGAATTCACAGCCCTGGAAAGAAAGATAAGCATTTGAAGCAGAAGCATAGTTCCCTTCCAATCTCCCTCAAAGCGGTCAAAGAATTTTGCAATGCCCCTCAGATAAAGGAGGAAGCAAGTGAAAATGGAAGTGCGGAATCTTTAGAGGACGTCTCGATGATAGAAACATCAGTAGTAGGAGCATCGGCTGCCGCTTTCGACGAAGGGGAAAAGGCGCTATTGAACCCAGCCCCCACATGTTCTTCGCTCTTACCCTGTCTCCTTTTCCCCATTCTCCTTTTAAGTTTTTCTTTATGGTTTATCAAACTAATTTTAAAATTTTGTCCTGGAATGTCTGCGGTGCAGGGAGTAGGAAATTCAGTAGAGCGATTCGTCTTATGCGAAGTATCCATAACCCAGACATTCTGGTTATCTTAGAGCCTCAAATTAGCGGCGATAAGGCTAACATTGTCTGCAGCAAGCTAGGCTATGACGAGGTGATTCGGGTTGACGCAGAGGGGAGATCGGGTGGGATTTGGTTGGCTTGGAGATCGGCTGATTTTCAGGTGACTCCTCTTAATGCCAACAAGCAGCATCTTACTGTTCGAGTCTCAAGGGAGGGTCATGATGATTGGATCCTTACGGGCATCTAAGCCCGCCCAAATTACAAATACCACTCTCTTCTCTGGGAGCAAATTATCAACTTCAGCAAAGTTTGGAATCTCCCCTGGATAATTACTGGAGATTTCAATGCCATAGGCTCACCTTCGGAGAAGCTTGGCGTATGCACCGCTCGGGATACCAGAAGATGTAAGAGGTTTCTGCGCTGGGTGAATGAAGCATGTCTGACGGATATGGGTTTCTCCGGACCGTGCTACACTTGGTTCAGGGGAGACTCCTCCTTGACCCGTAAGGCTAGCCGCATTGATAGGACTCTGTGTAATGATTCTTGGAACTCAGTTTTTCCCGGTACTGTTATCCAGCATCTCCCTAAATTCCATTCAGATCATCTCCCTATTATGGCAAGCTACTCTTATCAGCAGTTTTCTAATGGAGAATCAAGACCTTTTAGGTTTGAGGCGGCATGGTTCCTTCACCCTCAATTCAGAAAGTTCATGGAGGATAATTGGAACAAAGATACAGGTCTGCTGGCTAGACTTCAGGGCGTTACCATCAGATTGGCGAATTCTTTTAGCCCAGGCCTTCTGAAGTTGCAGCTCAAACTTGAAAAAGAATTGGACCTGATAATTGCTCAAGAGGAGGTGTTTTGGTTCCAGAGGGCTAATGAGAAATGGGTAAAGCTGGGAGATCAGAATACTTCCAACTTCCATCATCAAGCTATCAGAAGGCGTAGAAGAAATAAGATCCTGGCTCTTCGAGATTCTAATGGAGACTGGATCGATAACCAAGAAAATCTTAAGAGCCTGGTATTGCAATTCTATGAGCTTCTATATACTCAAGAGAAGGGGGGGACTTTGTTGACCTGATGCGCAGAGGGAGGTTTCCCCGCTTGCACCAAGCTGTCCTGCTGGGTTTGCTCCATCCTTTTAATATCTCAGACTTCCACAAAGCAATTTTCGAGATGAAACCGATGTCAGCTCCTGGACCAGATGGGTTTCAGGCTATCTTTTATCAAAAACTTTGGTCGCTAGTAGGAAGGAATATGACAGAAATGGCTATCCACTACTTTGAAACTGGATCTCTCCTGGAAGAGATCTTTGAGTCCACAGTAGTGCTTATTCCGAAAGTTGACCACCCAGAGACACCGGCTCATTTCAGGCCAATCAGCCTGAACAACGTGGCATTAAAGGCTATTACCAAGGCCATAGCCAACAGACTCAAACCTCTTATGCCGAAACTAATTGCCCCGACTCAAAGTGGCTTCATCATGGGTAGACAGACGAATGATAACATCCTTCTTCTGCAGGAAACTTTACATTCAATGAGAAGCAGGAAAGGGAAAAGGGGAAGTCTAGTTATTAAAATTGATCTCGAAAAAGCCTATGATCGCCTTCACTGGGGCTTTCTACGAGACACTCTTGGAGAAATAGGCCTCCCTAGTTCCTGGATCAACAAGATTATGATGTGTGTAGAGAGAAACCAAAATGCGGATCAACTGGAACGGGGAGATGACGTCAGACAGGGAGACCCATTACCACCCTTTCTATTTGTGTTATGTATGGAAAGACTTTCTCATCGCATTGAGCAAGCTGTAGAGGAGAAGCTTTGGAAACCAATCTCTCTTACTAAAGATGGTCCAAAGTTGTCTCACCTCTTCTTCGCTGAAGATTTGATTTTGTTTGCAGAAGCTGAAGGTAGGAAAATTGATGTGATCTGGTCTTGTTTAGATGACTTCTGCTCGAGCTCTGGCCAGAAAGTGAACCTGCACAAGTCGGCCATGTTTGTTTCCCCGAATGTTTCGCGAGACAAAGCCCAGAGACTCAGTGCTAGAGCTAGGATTACCCTCACCAATGATCTGAGCAGATATTTATGGTTAAAAGCAATCAATGGAAGGATTACTCAGCGAGATACCAAGAACTAATTCTAAGGATCCAACAGAAATTGGCGACTTGGAAAGCGAAACACCTATCAGTTGCGGGCAGAATCACCTTGGTGAAGTCTGTAGCCTCTTCCATGGCAATTTATCCCATGTTTACAGAAAAATTACCTGCTTCTGTCTGTAATTCTCTTGACAGGATCAATCGCCAGTTTGTTTGGGGGAGAAGAGGATGGCAAGGCGAAGTTCCACCCCATTGCTCGGGAACAAATGACTCTGCCCAGACAGCTTGGAGGTGTGGGGATAAGGCCGACTAAACTAGCGAATCAAGCCATGTTAGCCAAAGGGGCTTGGAGTCTAGTGACTGGCGATCGAGCCCTGTGGGCTAGAGCAATGAGATGCAAATATGGGAAAGGCAGGCAAGGGCTAGACATACTAAGAAAAACAAAGGGAAGCTCCTTTGCCTGAAACAATTTTTCTTAAACTGTTAACCTTTTGCAAAAAGGGATAGCCTACAATTTTAAAACTGGCCATGGAATTAAATTTTGGACCGATGTGTGGGTTTTGCAGGAACCTCTTGTGGAGCTGGCAATGACCGATGTACCTCAAGATCTTAGAGACACTATGGTGGCCGATTATTGGGACGAGAATAGTGGATGGAAGCTTCAAGAGTTTCAAGCGTACCTCTCTACCGATGTCATTGACAAAATCCGTTCGGTTTGGCTGGATCCTCTTGCCAGCAGCGAGGACACTCTTTTCTGGAGGGTCACCTCTAATGGCAGGTTCAGTGCTAGCTCTGCCTACCAGTCCATGATGTCGGAACAAGCGACCCAGGGGCAGCTTGATTGGCGGAAGATCTGACAGCTTCATTGTCCAGAACGAGTCCGCTTCTTTACTTGGCTCGCGGTAAAAGGGAAATTGTCGACTAATAGCATCCGCAAGCTCCGCATCTCACAACCGATGATAGGTGTCCTCTTTGCAATGAAGCAGTCGAAACCAATCTGCACTGCCTTAGAGATTGTACAACTGTGCGGAAAGTTTGGGAGAAATCGATACCTGGCCAATGTCACCAAGCCTTTTTTGCAGCTGACCCTGAGCTATGGTTTAGTATGAATTTGAAAGGACAGCTGGGTGAGGAAGCACAGGATGACTGGCCGAGCCTCTTTGCCCTGCTGTGCTGGTATATTTGGAAATATAGAAATGACTTCATTTTTTAGGGCAAGAAGATGACAGTTTCTTCCATTGTCAATTATGTTAGTTCCAAAACTCGAGACTGGTTGGCAACATGGGATAGAAAAAGCATCAGCCTTAATGTTATGGAGAAACCTCAAAGAACAGAGCATCTAATCGGGTGGACGGCTCCACCTGGAGGATGGAGGAAAATGAACACCAACGGTGCGGCTCAAGACAACCCTGGCTTGGCTACTGCAGGAGGAATTCTCAGGGATAGTAATGGTGAATGGTTAGGTGGATTTTGATGTAAGATTGGAGAAGGCTCGGCTATTCTTGCCGAGTTATGGGGCATTCATCAGGGACTTACAATGGCGTGGAAGCAAGGTACTCAGTTTCTTATCCTCGAAACGGACTCGAAGCTAGCTATCGACCTCATCAATAATCGCGAAGACCCTGTTCATCCTCATTCCACTATTTTATCGGCTATCAGGCGATTGATGTCTCAAAATTGGGTGGTCCAATTAGTTCATACATACAGAGAAGGGAATAGAGCTGCGGACTGGCTCTCGAAGCACAGTCTCGTCTATCCCTTCGGTACGTGTGAACTAGAGGGTCCACCCAGGGATCTTGAAAGAATCTTATTGGAAGACATAGTTGGGGTCAGTTCCCCTCGGTTGATTGTGCAGAACAGATACTAGTTTAGCCTCTCCTGCCTGAGGTTCTGGGTTGGCTGGTTTGGTTTGTTAAGTTTGTCGGGTCGTTACTTTGTTCACTGCTAGCCGCGGCTGTGCAGGCTTGTAGCCTCCTTTGTTGATCAGCTTTGTACTCCTTGGCTTCTGCCTCCATTTTATCCACACACAAAAAAAAACTACCTAATCTAGTATCAGCCAATAAAAATGATTTAAGAACCTCATTAAACAATGAGGTTTAAGAACCTGATCCAACCCGCCCTTTCTCTATCTTCTTTTTTTTCCGGATATGTTTTTGTGGAATCGCTAATAAAAAATATAACCACCATAATTTTACAACCTGTTACTTCTTTCTCTCTTTTCTGATACCGTCTCTAAACTCATCCTTAATAACCACTTTCCTCTCTTATAAAAAAAAACCACCTTCATCATATTTTTTGGTTTTTTCCCACAGTTTTGTAGAGATATGTCATAGGTGAGATCGGAAAATTTATTTCTTTTCTTTCAATATTTATGAATAATTGCTTCTCAATTTATCTTTCATTGTCGCTTGAAAAAATGGATTCGTGATTTAAAAAAAGAAGAAGGATAATGTCGACAAGGACCAGATAATGGTATAAGTTTGCCCTTAATAATAAATTCATATTAGAGTATCCATATCAATATAATTGCAAAAGCAATTTGTATTTGTGCTTTTTA